GTGATTAATGCTTTAAAACTTTTACGGTCAATGGCACAAACGTCCATTACGGTTTAATGACGCCTTTAAGCTTTAAACTAATGAAAATTTTAATGGAGGTTTGTGCAACTAGCCATTACTCAGTTAGTCGCCCTTATGTTGCTATGTCACAAGTGCGATATTGTAGTTAATTTGCAAATAGCACCTGTTTTCTCGCGATACTTAGCGACAAAAGAAAATTAATATTTAACTTACATCTCTTGCATAGTAGTTATTCATTTTTATTTTCAGATTGACTAATGCTAACTTATCAATAATAAAAAGTAATGCTACTATCGCTAAATACATTCTTTTACCATTAAAGAATAACGAAAAAAGCATTAATAGTAACCAGTAAGTATTGAAAACAGATTGATTAACTAATAATTACCTAAATAGGAACGTTAGGTATAGGCTAGAGGTGGTTGTAAATTAGCACTTATCGTGTAATTGTAACATTTTAATCATATACTTATAGCGCTTAACGCTGCTAGTATGTACTCGTTAAGATTAAATAAATGCGATCACTGGTGACAGCGTGCAACGACCAAAAGCGCCCGCGCGTATGCTAACGGGTGCGTTAACGATTTGTTTTCTCAGCTGATCCTGTATTAAACCTACCTAGTTTAGTTAGTGGATGTTATTTGATAGTTTGTAATAATTTGTTTAGATTTAAGGACGATTATGTGATCATTATTATAATAAGTACGTATTTATAACAAAGATAATGTTAATAAATATAAGGACAAATAGAAGTGAAAGGACATATAAAATGTCCATAGATCATTAACTTTTACTTCAAATAGATATTCTTAATGATAAATGCTACAAAATCCACTTTGACCCTAGTACTCTGAGATGGGATCTGAACCCACGACCTTTCGCAATCCGTGCGACTGCTCTAACCACTGAGCCACCCAGGATATATCAGGACTGACGAATTTTCAAGCACTTGTTACTTTTTCGCTACTACAGAGCGTATTTTCATCAATGTTCAGGCAATCCACCCGAACAGCCAAAAGAAAAATAACGTAACGAGATTAAGTGTACTGCTTGATAATATGCGTTTGTTGCGCATCCATACGCTTTTATTAGATAGCGTGTTGATAAATTGGCACATCAGCACACTAAATACCGTCAACCGGGGTTACTTTGACTTCAAGGGTAACTTTGACAGTTTTTCGGGTGAAAACCACTGTTAACGTGTGCATGTTCCTATGCTGCTTAAAAGATTGATAAACAAAAATCTTTGCTACATCTGCAAATGCGATTTTAGATTTTATTTCAATGCTCCAGACTGGATTCGTTGCATAACATGTAGCATGTAAAGGGTCAAAAAATCTAGCTTATGAGTGTGTTGTCTACGAAGACGTAGATTTTTTTTATTTTTATTTATTTATCCTTACCTCTTTAACAAACCGGGATGATTTTCAACCTTTAAATAAAAGTTACATAGAATAAAAGAAATGTTAAATAACTTCTAAAATCAGTTCAAAGTAACCCCGGTTGACGGTAAACTTTAATCATTTAAACTGCAGCGTGTTAATGGTTTATAGTAATATTTAACGACTTTAAATAGCAGATGTTTCTTATTTGCAGATCTCAAATAATTCAAACTTCTTCTCCTCTGAATCTACTTGATGGCCTTTCGACGCTTACGTATACTTTAAATAACATAGAGCTTAAGTCATTATACACTTTGATTGAGGTTGACCTCGATACGGAGTCCATAAACTCCGGTACAGTCAGTGAAAAACTCTGGGATAAACTACTAAATCAAGCAACGAGTACAATCAGCAAAATCACGACGTCCAGAACAAGAAAAACATTACTCTAAAAGGGACACTGGTTTTTTATTATTTTTCTTAAATAAATACAGTTCAGAAATATATTCGGCAACCAACCAACCAGACGCAGAAACACGTACACGCAGGCTGGGCTTGCACAGGCACAAGAGTAAATCTAATATAAACAAATACGGCGGCCAGACGCATTAGCGATTTCCGGGATTATACGCATACACATCTAAATTAAATCGGCTTTAGTATATTTTCTTTTTTTCTCGCTTTCTATTTTTACCCAGCGTAGAAAAATGTTTTCATATCTTGTCCTTCACTAATGATTCCTTTTAATGTAGTAGTCGACATGCCAACGCCTATTTACAAATTAATTCTTTAAAAGGAAATATCAAGACTCATCATTGCTACTTACCGGCTTTAATAAAACAAAAATGATGATATGAGACAAGCGCATTTTTAATGAAAACTAAAATTTTGTACATTCGTATAATTTCGCTTTTGACACGAAAATAAGATTATACGGCATATGTACATGTGCGAGTGAGAGAGAGAATGGATTTGGCTATGTGGCGTGTTACTACGCGCATGTGTGCAACGATCATAAGTTCCTGTCTCATTCATGCTAGTGTTGAAATTCATTGCCTGCGTTGCCAGAAGGTTACTTTTGTAACCTTTTAGGTGATTTTTAACTCCTTGAGGTTACTTCGAGGTTACACGACACAAAAGGTAACTTTGTGGTAACTTTTAAAATTGCGCGGAAATGCTTTTCTATGTTCCCACCAGGGGCTTGTATGTACCTAATCTGTGACAGGAAGTGCAACCACAGAATCAAATCAAACATACTCTTCAATCGTCCGATTCGCTCGGCTAATCGTCAAAAGTTACATACGCGATTCACTACCACCTGATGTTAAGGACAAGATGTTTAGTCCCAATTTTGGCCGCGAGCAGACTTATCTTGGGCGGACTCTATCTTCATTCATTCATTCCTCCAGTCAGTTTATTTATTATATTTTAAACTGTGCATTTGCATTATTGTTTTATCAGCTACAATATTGCAAAATCACTGACCCCTACAAATTAGAGTACTGTAATCCACGGTTTATCATACCGCTTGAAAAAATGTATCTAGGCGTGTCCACTCAAGAATCCATTATTGAAATTGAAAAAGAAATTCCAGCACCTAAAACGCAGATAACCGATTTTAGAAAATCATGTTTGTCGTTTTATATCGAAGCAATCAAACAGATCACACAACGTTTTATCTTTTCGGACCCACTTTACGACATAATCGAACTAGTCACAGATCCTCAAAAAGCTCAATTACCTTACTTTTGTCGTCAATAGATTTCCATATTTAAGAAACGATTTAGATCTCGAAGAGCTAAATAAAGAATGGAAAATGCATGCACTGTTAGATTTTACTCATTTAAATTTGTCTCCGAATCTAGAAATTCTCGATTACTGGAACAATGTGTTTAGGTTAAAAAAAAGTTCAGGAGAGCCTCAGTTTGCATGTTTAAAGAAAGTTATAATGCTTTTGCTGGTCCTACCCTTTTCAAACGCCAGCGTTTTCAGCCAGCTCAAATTGATTAAATCGGACCATAGAAATAGGCTTGCCACGGAAACAATATCAGCTTTGATGGCTACCAAAGCAAATATTCCAAATGCCATGACATTTGAGCCAACAAAACTGATGCTGAAAACTAGAATAAAATATAAAAAGGATGGGGAAAGCGAAGAAGGTACTAACTGATTACTAATTTATTGATTTTTACTTTGTACGTAATAATAAGAAAGCCATGTGATCTGTAAGAAAGGTCCTCGTGATCTATAATTTTTGTTTATTTGTGAATCTATTGTCTTTAATTACAGGTGTTCAGAAGAAGTAATTTTTATACTTAATAGCAACTTAAATATGGAGAAGAAACTTTTAAATGCCTACCCATTAATACGTAAGTATTTTTTTATGCTTTTGGACATCTAAAATGTAAAAGGTTACTTTTCCTGTAAAAAGGTTACTTTTTTGCACACCGCAGGTAACTTTTGACAAGACTTCGCTGGCAACACTGTTCATTGCTGTCTTACTCGCCTGAATAGCATGCTACTGATAATAACGTGAGTTCCTGTATCGCTCACGCACGCTATAGATGAAACTTGTAACTGTATCTTGCTTGCTCGGGGAATATCGTGTAAGTGTGTGAGTGAGTTTACTTATGTAATTTTATCAGTGCCAATTTTTGGTCAATGTAAATATGAATTTGACGTACCTTCCCTTTTTTGGCCATTTTTTGGTCAATGTAACTATGAATTTGCCATAACTTCCCTTTTTGTGTTTATCAAATGTTATCGGTGAATTCATAAACATGCTTCAAAATCAAAAAATTTCGTTGGGGTTCAGCTTCATTTCTGAAAATTTAATATAAACGTTAAAAAAAGTATTTCTCGCTTGAGATATCAATGGCTTTTTGGTAATTTTCACAAAATAAATTATATTCTGGTACGCTTATACCAATGAGTAAGTATTAAAAAAAATTGTTCCCGAACTCAAACTAGATGTCGCTCCGGTACTTTCTTGATTTTTTATAACAATTCTTTTGATTTTGTTTCATGTATAAACGTAAATAAATTTTCAAAACTCAATAAACAACTCTTATTCTATTTGTACTTTTTCATATTTGTATTGATAGTTAAGGTTCAAACTTTGCAAATTGCATTTTTTTAATATTTTAGATAAAAGGAACGGAAATGACTATCTTTGGACCATTCGTTTCCCGCAAAAATCAATTCTTAAAATACTTCCATGTATTATTGGATTAAGCTGATGGCCTTGACTTGACAGCCAATGGTCTTAATAAAATTAAAAAAAAAACGAAATGTCATGTCAGTCGATTAATCAACTTGAGTTTAGAGGAAAATAAATAAAACTAAATTAATTAAAACGCTGAAATGTTATTGTCATTATCGGTTCAAATTGATAAGTTGCTATCATAATGGCTTTTTTGGAGGTATATATTAATTAGTACTGCTCAAGTGATTATAAAAGTAATGACGAATTTACAGTTGCGAGCTGGTTTCATATCTTTATTTTCAATAACAATCTTGTTGAATATACCTAATTTTTTTAAAATACATTGCATATATTAAATAATTCAAATGTGATTAACCTGTACTATACTAAATATGTATATAAATAAAATTGGACCATTTCAGTGGCGGCGTTTCACTTTCTTTGATATTCACAATAATGTAGACAAGAAGAAGATTGCAGAATGCTTACAAGTAAGTTTTAAACTTATTTTGTCACATATTTTTAATAAAATTAATTAGTATCAATATATCTAAGAATGCTTCCATTAATGATGTAGATATTTTCCTGTAAACAATCTTAATCTAGTCAAAACTTCATATCTAGTAGATATTTTACTTATGTATGTTTTGGGTGATACAGCTTTAGTGATCCAATCTAGCTTTTGCAAGAAACCCAATAAATGAAAAATTATATAAAATAAAAAATAAAATTTCTTTATTTTCAGACAATTAAACTTGAATGTACCTTATTTTATATAATATTATTCAAAATAGAAAGACTATGCTGAAAGTATTTGGATTCAATATTATAATTCTGGTAAACATCAAAAATAGGGATGACGACTGAGAAAATAAAAATAAATTCTATTTAGTCTACCAGTTCTGAGTGATACATATTTTTTCACTTCACTTTACAAGAAATAGCTTAGATTACAGTCATTAAAGTTGAGGAGTGGGGTCTCGCTACATCACAGTTTTGTAGAAAATGAATGTGTGATGTCATGTAACATTATAACACTGTATTATATCACCATAATTTAATGATAACAAAAATAAATGTGTTTAATATTTTTCAACTATCTTCCTGATGGACAAATTAACAAAACTAAGTCATCATCCCAATTGTACAAAATGACATGCACCTTTTACAGTACTATTGGTTTAATGATGGCAACCTGTTGTGGCTGAATATTTTGCTGGTGTTAAATATGAGGGCTTTTTGTTCTGCAGTACATGGCCTCATCAATATAATGACCTCTTAGCCTGTTAAAAAATAAAAATGATATTGTAAAGTAGGAAAAATACCTGTTGATTTCTACTACAATAATAATTACACTTGTGGGATTTTATGCACAAAAAAATCAATATATTGAATAAGTTGTCATTTCCTATAACACTATGGACAGTTTATGGACAAAATTGCAATGGAGTTCATGACTAAATATTTTATTTGTCTGTCAGGTTAATCTATTGAGAAATATTAAATAGTTTTTTGCATAATCAAAAAATATTTGAATTTAAATGTCACATGACACCATACTCATGTTACTCTATTACATTTCATCAAACAGTTTTCTAAAAACAATTAAGGAAAATAAATTTGTTACTTTTAGGACACCCATATTACTGTATCTACAAGCGGAAATGGCCATGTTGTACTCTGTGATGTGACAGGATGGGCCCACTTAATTACTAGAAATTGGGAAGTAACTTCCTTTAAGGCATATGAGTTGACAGTTACACTTGCACAACAATTGCCTCATGATCCCTACTTGGTTACCATTGGGGTAAGTTTTTATTTTGTATCCCTGAAAATTTTATTTATATTTTTTATGTCTCACTGACCTTACTTTAGTACTCTTAAGTACCATGAATTACTGTACTTAAATGTATTAATTTTTTCTACTGATAAAGTTAAATTATCAATATTAAAAAGAAAACTGTGCTTAATCAAAAAGTTATTAAAATGAATTGATATGATCAAAACAATGATTTCTTCATATGTCAAGTTAGAATACAAAGCTTATATTTGCATTTTAAACTGATTTCCAATCACATAAAAAAATTGACATATCTATAGCTTTGATTCCAAAATGAGTAGCTAAAGCATTCATCTTAACGGGTATCGTAGATGCCATCATGCCACCTGTACCCAAAAACTTACTTTTTCTTGACTTCTTTGTACAGTATTCTGTTATTTCATTATTACCACTAGGATGATGAAGCAGGTGTAAATCCCCTCATCAAAGTATGGGATTGGTCTCGCAGCGACAGGCACGGGAATCCTACGTGCGTGCGAGTATCACGAGCTGTGCCCTCGCATATGCGCCAAACACCAGTCACTGCACTTGCTGTACATGACAACAAGGTAATTTTAACAATAAATTCTGCTTGAAATTAATATCTAAAGAGTTAATCAAGATTGTTGTAAAAAAATATTAGAAATAGGACACAACATTGTTGGTATATGATTTATTTTGTTTAATAATAGAGATGACGACTGATTTTTGTTTGTTTGTCTGTCAGGCAGAGTGTTAAAAAATATTAAACACGAATTTTTTAATTTTTTTCGTAATTATAAAATTGCGGCGTTACATGGAGTTGAAATTTCGCATGACGTCACCTTATGGTACGTTTTCTACTAACTTAACGTGACGTAGCGAGCCCCCACTCCTCAACTTTAATGCCTTTTATCTAAGCTATTGTTAAATTCAAGTAAAAAACAAAAGTACGAATCTAATATTTTTCTATTATCTGACTGATGGACTAAATAGAATTGCAGTTTTTTTACCCAGTCGTCATCCCTATTACTGTAGTGCAATACATAGAACTTATTTAAATACTCTATCTAGGCTTTGAAAATTTGTAACAAATTATAAATTCTCAAACATACACAACGAAAATTAAATTTTACTTGTACATAAGTCCTTTATTCTATGTACACAATTTGCTTCATTACTGTCTCATTACCTTTCTTTTTGAACAATAAAATAAAACTGTGAACATGCATATGATATAAATTCTTAGAAATAGTGTGGTTGCTACTTTTATGGAGGAAGTCTAACTAAAGCTGACATACTTATAGTTGAAATCTCTGACAGTGTTCAGTTTCATAGGAGCAGGGGGTTAGTTGTAACAATTTGTGGTCTTTTGGTTATAAAAACTTAAACAAGTAAGTAGTAACTAAATCTAGCAGTACTATTCCAATTAACAATTATCGATTTCAAATAAAATTTTAATAAACCTGTAATGAAGTTTTGTAGAAATGGCTTTGAAGAAAACTGACGAGTGTTACAACTTACCCCAAACTTGGAGAATACTGTGATGAACTAGAGGCAAATTGTAACATTAGGAATTAAAAACCAGTTTTGTATTTTGTAACAATTTATTTCATATGAAAACATTCAACTGGCCCAATGTGGGTTGGAGGTATTAACGACTGCAAATGCAACCGGGACCAACGGCTTAATGTGCCTTCCGAAGCACGAGATAATAATTGTTTGGTCACCCATCCCGTGACCGACCCTTGCGAAAGTTGCTTAACGACAACGATCACGGGCCGCGGCACTTATCCACTACGCCACCCAGCTACTACGAGTAAATGTGTTACAACTAAACAAACAAATGCTAAATGCATTTGTATAAATCAACAACTGTTAAACAATGTGAAAGTTACGCTAATCAGTTTCGTATAAACCAAAAAAGTTAATTACCTGACTTTATCGGAGCTCCTCCACAACACCTCTTCCTATGCTGTACGACGGGATACTGAACGCGCTTATATTTAAATACAACAGAGAAGTATCATGCATAATGTTATTATGTTTGAATTTTTTTTACAGAATCTCATGGCAGTAGGCTTTCAAGATGGTTCCGTGACTTTGTTTCGTAGTGACATTGCGCGACAACGCAGTGGAAAAATGAAGACATTACCAGATTCCGGCATCAGTCCTATTACTGGACTTGCTTTCAAGTAAGAAATGTCAACAATTAAAAATATCAAAGAGGATGAAAATATTATATATTCAATACAACAATCATATTTTGAAATTGTTATACTTAAATTTTTTTGAATGCTGCTTTTTTAAGGAATTGTATTGTAAGCGTTGTCTACATAATATCAAAATATTTTTATTAATATTCCGTGTAGGTTAGCAACCCTGCTGATCTCATAGTGAAACCCCATCGTAAATGATAATCCATACAATATTATTATTATTATAATAACACTGTCTGTATGTTCAGATTTCTGAAACTACACAACGGAAGGTTTATATTTATAATACAGAATCACGCGGGCGAAGCGGGTGGCTAGTAGTATTATAAAGACGTAAATTTTCCCACTTTTTTTGGTAGTAGGGTTAACCCCAACTGAAAATACTCTCCACTCGTGAAAATTCGTTCAATAACACATCATACGTGGCTGAAATAGGCTATAAATACGCAGGCAAAGTCTCGTGATAACTAGTAGTAAATAAAATATTTAACTCCTATGAATAAACATAACATACGAGGGTCTATCCTTTTATATTCAAATGAAAATCCCGAAATCACAAAGATATCCGTGCACCAGAAGAAGTGTCAGGTCCTAAAAATACGTTTCTTTGGAGTTGTATTAGCATTTTGAAAATAGATAAATTTGAAGCAACAGAGAAATAGAATAATAGGCCTTCAGGTGTCATGTTAATTCGTATGAGTGGTAAGTGAAATGGTACACGTTAGGGGCGCGGACAAATTGTTCGTGGTGTCCCGTGCGAGCGTGCTAGTGTACTGGCTGGGCACGGAGCGCTGCGTGACACTCGACACGCGCGGGGCGCCGCCCTCCTGCTGCGTGCTCGCCGACAGCCACCGGCTCACCGTAGCGATCGACGATGTCAGTACTACTTTTTACCTACTTATTTCTGGCCATCGTAACCAACGACGACGTCAGTATTTCTTAATACCATCTTGGTTCTAGCCATCGTAGTCATCGATGACGCAAGTATTTCTTAATACCAACTTGGTTCTTGCCGTCGTAACCAACGACGACGTCAGTACTTATTAATACCAACTTGGTTCTAGCTATCGTAGCCATCGACGATGTCAGTACTACTTTTTACCTACTTATTTCTAGCCATAGATGCCATCGACAACGTCAGTACTACTTAATACCAACTTCATTCTAACCATCGTAACCATCGACGACGTCAGTACTTCTTCATACCAACTTCATTCTAGCCATCGTGGCCATCGACGCCGTCAGTACTACTTAATACCAACTTGGTTCTAGCTATCGTAGCCATCGACGACGTCAGTACTACTTAATACCAACTTCATTCTAGCCGTCGTAGCCATGGACAACGCCAGTATTTCTTAATACCAACTTGGTTCTAGCCATCTTGGTTATCGTCGATGTTGATCCTAGTACCATGTAGTTAGTACCTAGGTTCTAAATAACATCTTGGTTCTAATTATGTTTTTCATCATCAGACTATTAATGTACCCTGGGGCAAAGGCCTTCTCTTTGGATGGAATCGAATCGAATAGTGAGAATGGGCCTACCACTTCTCATCTAGAAATGTAATTGTGGACTATTATTAAAATATTTAAATTAAGCCAAACGAATCTTCAAATCGATTGTTAAATCAAATTTCCTTGACTTATTGACAATTTACAAACTATTCCCTATTAAGAATAACTTAAGAGGAAATCTCCAGTATTAGGAATTATATTCTATATTGGGTTATTTTCCATAAAAATATGGTAGTGAATGTAATAAAATATTTGACTCCTAGTAACAGAAACTGTATGGAAAAGATATATAAATAAAAATGATAATGATATTGGTAACGAATGAATAAAAATCTATAAAATCTATAAATCTATAATTTTATGCTAAATATAATTATAGTGTATTGGCATTGCAGTTTCCCTTCATATTTATTCTATATCCAGGCCATATACTGTTATACAACTGAGGGACGAGGTCCTTGCTACGCGCTAGAAGGCGAGAAAGTACGTCTAAACTGGTTTCGGTCGTACCTGGTCATCACCACCAACGAACTCTCCGCCGCTTCCACCAGCTCCACACAATCAGCGAAATCTCATCACATCACCATTCTCGATATACAAAACAAATTCATCGTGTTCTCCAAGACTTTTGAAGCCATAGACGCGGTTATAACGGAGTGGGGATGTATATATCTCCTCACGAAGAGTAAAGAGGTCATATATTTGGAAGAGAAAGATCTACAGTCGAAGTTGACTCTGCTATTCAAGAAGAATTTATATGATGTGGCCATAAGGATAGCGAGCAGTCAGCATTATGACGTGGAAGGGCTTATAGAGATATACAAACAGTATGGTGACCATTTGTATGGTAAGGTATGTACCAAAGGTTCATATTGATATAAATTATTTTATTTTTAGGCAGTCAATCTTTTTTCGAATAAAGAGTATTCTTAAATCAATGTTATAAACTATATACAATAATTCATTATATAAGACTCTCGTATCATAATTTAAGTCACAATCCTTCAGAATGTCTTAACCGGTTCAATAGGTCTGAGAATAGTTTGTAATATATTCTTTATATCCCTTACTGATAGAGGTGGTCCGCCCCAAATATATGTGACAAAACGTATGCCTGGTTAGTAGCTAGTATTATATAGACTTTTTTTATTGGGAATGTTTTGTGTGTATGTTTTATTTTTTTGTTCTTCTCACAACTAAAGAAATCTACTTTTGTTTTACTTTTAATCATAAAATTGAAAAATTATTATAATTTTACAGTAACATATCCTAAAATATTGGCGCCATGTTTTCTAAACAATTTATTTTGTATGGTAAGGGAGCGTTATTTAAGACTGCCTGTATATGTGTACACATAAACTATTTAAATTATGCGCTTCGGCTATATTCGTCAAGCTTCGGCAATCCTAATGTATTTTAAAGATATCTATATAGAGTTGTTATTACATAATTAATCATTTCGCTTCAATTTAGATTAGATCAGCCAATTTAAAAATAAAAGTATACTGTGTTTCTTGCTATCAGCTGATACCAAAATGAAAACCCCAGATTAAAGAAAATCGAATTAAGATAAATCGGTTGTACTAACTAAATAATTTTCTGTCACCAGCAAGCAGAACAGTTTTTTTAATAAAACAAAATTCATCAATTAATATAAATTTATCAATTAATCACAATTTGATATGACTTCTATACCCGACATTTCAGACTCAGAATCATTACTGTCGCTGCTGGAACCAATGTTTTAGTACCTATATTCAAATAAGGTAATTTGGCGTATTACAGCTCTATACAATTCTTAATACTGAAATATTGCGTGCTGTCACTTCCATCACAGTCGAGGTACTGACGAGTTTTGGCGGCTAAAACGACGATCACACATTGGTTTCTTGATCGGTTAAATTCGTAAACACGAAATGTACCGAGGCGCATAATTTAAATAGTATATGTGTATTAAAGTTGAACTCTTTTGACATTAAATTATTTTTTAGGGTGACTTGAAAGGTGCAATAGAACAGTATGTAAAAACCATCGGTTGGCTAGAAACCTCTTACGTGATCCGCAAATATCTGGAATCTCGTCACCTGGAGCCCCTTGTGCAATATTTAGAAGAGCTCCATAAGAAAGGGTGCGCTACCGAGGACCATACAACGTTACTACTCACTTGCTACGTGAAAATAGATCAGCACGACCAGTTGGGGAAGTTGAAAGAGTTTATTAATACCAAAGATAAAGCCATAGATTTCGACGTAGATGTCGCTATTAAGGTAAGGTACTCCGTTAGTAGTTTAGATTATACTTAAAATAGCATAATTTATTGGTAGCTTGAAGTTCGAGTATGACAAGATCTCTATAGTAGCGATAGCATAACTGTTATGTGTCTTTGCGATATTGTCTTGTTATTAGTTGTTATTTTGATCGGATTACTTTTAAAAAAATTATATATCATGTTAATGTACCTCCTCATCTTTTAATAAAAAAAAGAAAGCACTAAAAAGCACCTCACTAGATGGCGACTCTACCAAAAGTTGATTTTTGTAAGAAACTAGTGGGTCAAAGATAGTCATTTCCGTTCCTTTTAACTGACATTGCAAAGTTCGAAACTTAGATATCTATACAAATACAAAAAATTACAAATAGAATGATGTTTTATTGAGTTTTGAAAATTAATTTACTTTTATACACGTAAGAAAACCGGAAGGTTTTTCATGGAGAAATCAAGAAAGTACCATAGCGACATCTAGTTTGATTTCGGGAACTAATGTTTTTTTTTTTAATATTCCTCATTAGTACTATTATCTATTATGGAGGTATATGTCTAATGATTTCGTATATGATTAGGTAGTTCGTCAAGTTAGCGTTGAGGACGCTTTATCATTAGCGACAATACACAAACGTCACGACTGGGTGGTGAAATTGCTGGTGGAAGACCGTAAGGATTATTCGCGAGCCCTACATTATATAGCTGACTTGGAATTCGAACAAGCAGAGTTCTATATGAGGAAATACGGACATACACTTATACAACACCAACCACAAGAGAGCACACAGCTATTAAAATGTGAGTATAAAAGAAATTATTTCAAACCACTTTAGCCAAGTTTTTTATAATTAGTAATATTTTCTGCATAGGAAATATGTCATTAGTGGGATACACCGCTATTCCATCTTGAGCACTGGGTACGGTGGAATTATGTAATATTATAGAATAAATGTTTGAAATTGTAGTATTTCCAAATAACAATTTTGTAACAATACATTACCATACATTTTTGCACTACTGTGAACTTTAGCCAGTCTATCGATGATCGGATCCATTGTATCCTGAAGCTATCGGTGTTGAGGTGAGTGGTTTACTTCATAGTGGGGAATCCTATGTCTGAACTACATAAATACCAATAGAAACAATAGGATCGGCGACCGAATCGACTAACTTGTGCTCATGGGTTATCGAAGGTATTCCCGCGAACAAAGTATTTAAATTTATTATTATATATCAATATAGTATTGCAAATGACCCGGGTTTGTCCACTGGTCCATTTTTGGTCATTTGGGACTTAAGTTGACTTAACTTACTAAAGGAAAAAAATTACTTTGCCCTGCAGTATTTAAAATTTTAAATTAATACTTAAAATTTCACCGTTGCCAGCTGCGATGTGTAAATTTCTTCCCAACTATCCAAAGAGACCGAAAACGACTATATTGATGTATTTAACAGTACTATGCACGGATTATAAACCGCGCAGTAAGCCGCTAGTAGACGAGGCCACTCTCACCGGACGGACGCGGGAACCCGACCGCGCTCCGCCAGAAGACTTCATACATATGTTCTTGAGTAACTCGGAACGACTCATAGAGTTTCTAGAGCACATGAGTGCGACTCCTGGCTGCTCCAAACTGGTGTACGACGCACTCATAGAACACTATATACATGTATGGTATGTCATAAATTATTTTACAATATAAATTAAATTTGATACCGAAGCTGATTTTTTATACTCAAGTAATTGATATAATAATATTTAGAGTATACTTAAAATAAGCACACAAAATATTGACGTCATAATGTAGCGGACATTAATGCTTGGCCATTTAAGAATCAAATTCAAAAATAATAACTTTTTGTCCGTATGTTGTATTATTTGCATTTTTTTTTAAATATTTAGGTACATACTTTATTAATTATTGAAAAATCGTTAATAATCCTATTATGCTGATGAATACGATTTTGCATGCCATTCGCATCCGTCAATACATTACGCTGTATAATTATAAAAAGATAGGAAATGCGGCCATTGCTCAGAAATGGGCGTGGTACGAATATTGATGAAGATGATGGAATACGCACAAATTTTAATTAAATTTTTCATCTTAGGGCGAAAAGTACAGAAAACGAGAAAGCAGAGTACGAAGCGAAAATTATGAAGGTGCTCAAAGATCCTGAGGCGAACTACGACAAGGATCAGACGCTCGTCATCTGCCAGATGCTGGGCTTCAAAACCGGCATATTATATCTGTACGAGGAAAACAAACTGTATGTATTTATATTTCACCAGTATTCCGCCATCCGCTTCGCCCGCTTCCTCTTTAATCACTTTGTATATTTATGAAACCCGCAATAAAATCCGTTGTGAAAAGATCTCAGCGTACAGACAGCGGGAAGCTACTTTTTTTTATTATAGATTGATTTATTTATATCCTATCTGTTTTTAGATTATAATTTATAAATATTATTAATAAATGTCGCTTCTTTTGAATTGACAATCAAATTAATGTATGTTTTAAAAGTACAAAGGTCTGAAAAAAGAGTAGGTTGAATGAACAAAATTATAGCTACAAATCATACCTGAAAAAAAAAACATTTAATGCTATTATTCCACAGATCCCTATCATATTTAGTTTAATAATTTTTTATATTAAACTGTCTTTTATCACATCAAAACATCCTTTTTACTGCGCACCGACAAGGAGTGGAACTACCTGCCGGCATCTATATTCCTGAGCGCATATAACCCAGACTTATTAAAAAATAGCATTAATTATTGTGAGCCATTAACCGACTTATTTAAGCCAATTCCCCTTCACTTTGAACTTTGCGCTGTAAGGTTAGTTTTATTTAATGTTGCTGTTGTATGCATCTACAGGACCCCTGATTCCGATGTTAAAATATTTTTTGATTCTTTGTATAAAACACTATCCAAACTAAAAGTAAATAATAATAAAACGGTCATAATCTGTGGTGATTGGAATATAGATATGTTGAAAAATAATAAAACCTCACAGGAGCTTAATTCGATTTTATCAAATTTTAATCTAGTGAACCACATTTTGGTTCCAACACGGAGGCAATCTTGTATTGATTTAATATCAAGTAATTTACGAAATACAATAAGTAAAACCCACTATTTGGGACTGTCTGACCATGAAACGGCACAGACTATTACTTTTAATATTGTCAAAAAGCAACATCGAGAGAAACCACAAAGATGGTCTGAATATAAACGTGACTTTAGCTCTGAAAATATAGATAAATTCAAAAAATATATAGGTTCTCTTTCATTCTCTGAGACACTGGAAGAGCATAATGTAGACAAGGCCTTCAACGAATTTCATGACATTATCACGCTCTTTTTCAATCTTTGTTTTCCGGTATATAAAGTAACTGTTCGCGTACTTTGCTTGATCCACGAACTAACTGATTTAATTGATAAATAAGAATCCTTGTCGATTTTAATATTGATTTATTTGCGAATTATATATATATATACACTTGATACTTGCTGCGCGCGACAATGCCTTGATTGCACTGTTAATGTATAGAAAATGTGAATGAATATGTAAGTAAATGCTGACGCGGTAATATGCTTAATGTGCGGTATAAACCGTACAGTAACAATAACTAAAAAACCCATTAAAAATAAATGGATAACAAAAGGTCTAAGAAAATGCTGTGTAAAAAAACGGATTTACTACCTCAAATATATCCAATCGGCAGCTAACAAGAAATTGAATCATAAGACATATTCAAAATACTCGCAAATATTAAAAAAGTGTATTCTAACCTCCCAAAAAATAAATAGCACTAATTACATAAATAAGTCAACAAATCGTTGCAAAGCTGCATGGAGAATAATCAATGATAATTTTAAAAATACAGACGTCTATTCTGAAATAAACGAAATAGAAAAGGATGGAAAAAAATATACCCATCCTCAAGAAATCTCTGACATTTTTAACGATTACTTCATAAATTTTAATAATAATAATAATATCACTAAGTCCCAACATCATTTGACACCACTATATAAAACAATATATCTATCTCCAGTAAGTCCTAAAGACGTATTTGATGTGATAAAATCTCTTAAACAATCCAATTCAACTGGATATGACAATATAAATACTACATTGTTAAAATTATGTGCTTTGAATTTTTGTACCCCATTAGCGCATATAATTAATACATCTTTTTTAGAGGGCACATTCCCTGATCGTCTCAAATATTCTGTAGTCAAGCCAATATTCAAAAAGGGAAACAAAAAGGATATGAATAATTATAGACCCATTACGTTGATTCCAATCCTTTCAAAAATCCTTGAAAAAATAATGCTCTCCAAACTGATTGACTTTCTTAATACCAATAAAGTACTAAAACCAGAACAATTTGGATTTAGGAAAAACAGCTCAACTGTTCACGCCTGTTTTGCACTTGTAAAAAACATTATGGAATGTTTAGATAAGAGAATGCCTATAATTGCATTATTTCTAGATATGACCAAAGCCTTTGATTGTGTTTCCCATGAAATTCTACTCCAGAAGTTGGAAAGTTATGGAATTAGAGGTAAAGCATTTGATTGGATAAGAAGTTACTTAAAAAATAGGTATCAATGCGTAGAAATAAATAAAATGATAGGCTCATCAAAAAGTACCTTTCGCTCTCAATATCTTCTTAACACATTCGGAGTTCCTCAGGGGAGTATCCTAGGACCCTTACTCTTTCTTCTTTATATTAATGATTTACCTGATGCAACGAAACATAAGTGTCTATTATTTGCAGATGACACCACAATTTTAATTAATGGCACTAACAAAACTACACTTGAGGAAGAGGCAAATAATGCTCTTCGAGATATAATTAGTTGGCTTGAAAGAAATAATCTTAAAATCAATTTAAACAAAACTAATTTCGTCGAGTTTCGAACCTATAATAGTAAACCAAACAATATTAATTTACAATATGAAAATAAGGCTGTTGTTAGAGTAGAAGAAACTGTATTTCTGGGCATAACATTTGATAATTATAATAATTGGAAATCGCATGTAAATAAATTGTGCTCAAAACTAGATAGATTTGCATACGTGTTATATCGTCTCAGACAAACAACAACAATGCAGGCGACATTAACAGCATATCATGGATACGTCTCCTCATGCCTAAGATATGGTATTGTCCTGTGGGGATTCTCGGTGGATGCAGAGAGAGCCTTTCTCGTCCAAAAAAAGTGCATTAGATCTATGTGTGGTGCGGGGTATCGTGATAGCTGTGTGCCTTTATTTAAAAGATTGAAAATACTACCGCTACCTTGTTTATATATTTATGAAATTTGCATTTTTATACAGAAAAATCCAGATTTGTTTAAAAAAAATTGTGACGTCATAAAAAGGACTTGCCGAAATAAATTTAGATTATATGTCCCATCTCAACGATTGCAAGTTAACAGTAAAAGTATCAACTGCATGGCCGTTCGTATCTATAATAAATTACCAGATGTATTGAAAATTGAGACTCTCCGCTCATTTAAAACTAATTTGTTTCTTTTTTTACTTGACAAATGTTACTACTCGGTAAAAGATTATCTAAATGACATAACATTATAATATTTTATTGAAAATTAATTCATATGTATAATTGTATTTTTTTTCACTTGCTTTAATTTTACATTTTTATATTTAATTATTGACATTTATAATGAATCTATGACATCATTTAATATAATCTGACATTTTTATGTAATATTTGTACGCCAACTAGGCAGATTTTTGTTGGGACTTAATTTGGCTATAACACCTTTGCATATGTTTTGTATACCCAAAAATTTGACAAATAAATGAATTTGAATTTGAATTTGAATTTTATTTAACGCAGGAGTGAATAGTTTCCTTCTGGGCAAACTCGTCCCACCGTAGATCTCATTTATGTCCTTGAGCAAGAGTGAGCCCATTAAATAAACAATAAACGATATTTATTTCAGTACGCACGCGCGGCACAATTAAAGTACATTTTATTTCTCTATATTAGAATATAGACATTTTTAAAACAGCAAAATAACCTAAACTATTAACTATTCTTTTGCTATGCATGCTGTGCGTCTGTGGAATTCTCTTCCAGAGGGTATCAGGAGGGCTCGATCATTGGGATCCTTTAGCAATGAAGTTAGAAATTATTTCCTTTCCACATCTTAAAACTATTTTCATATTATTCTTTTTTACTATAAAACTATTTAATTCATTTCACATGTATAATTTTTTTTTATTTACGAGTATTATAATATAATAACGCTTTTTATTTATTTATCCTTCTCTATATTGCACCCACTCCCCATAGTATCTTTGTTATCCATTTTCACCATAGGTTGCCTGGAAGAAATTGCTGTTTAGCAATGAGGCCGCCATTTGTTTACTCTGTTTCTTAGATGATAAGCTTTTGTAAACAATGTATCTTTCATATTGAGTGCAATAAAATATTTTATTATTATTAACATTGATGTTACCCTGTGGTATGCGCAGATGGCGTGCGCAGGTGGCGCTACACATGCGCAGCGGCGACGCGGAGGGCGCGCTGGCGGCGTGCCGGCGCCGCGGCGGCGTGTGCCCGCGGCTGTGGCTCGACGTGCTGTGGTGGCCCCCGCCCCCCGCCTGCCTGCCCGAGCTGCTGCACGTGATCGGTAACTAGCGACGTACTGTGCCCCTCCCCTCCCCTCCCCATCTACCTGCTTACTAGCGACGTACTGTGCCCCTCCCCTCCCCATCTGCCTGCCTACTAGCGACGTACTGTGCCCCTCTCCACCCATCTACCTGCCTACTAGCGACGTACTGTGCCCCTCCCCTCCCCATCTGCCTGCCTACTAGCGACGTACTGTGCACCTTCCGCCCTATCTGCGTGCCTACTAGCGACGTACTGTGCCCCCGCCCATCATCAACTGATGAAAAACTTCGATTAAGAAACTTCAATATTATGGATTTAGAAATGTCTTATTGGATTTCACTGTCTTATATTTGAGTGCCAGAATGCAGAGGGTTGATATTGCGCTACACATACAGAAATTCCCTCTATCGATAGTTAAGTGTTCCACGGGGCTCAATCCTTGGTCCTTTCTTGTTTTTAAATGATTTGCCTCATTATGTAAAGGATAATCAGGAAATAGTTTTCGAAATCCATCAACAAGAACTATTTTTGTCCACAGATAGTCAAAAACTGTTGTCTCCAATTCTAGTCGTTGATTGTCTTACAAGTACACCGACCTATACCTTGGGTGATGTTAGAAAGTGAGTAAAAGTTCTTATAAATTATTAAGGGATTTTTAAAACTGCTTTAAGAAGTGAAGTGAAAATATCTAAGTCTGTATAAAAATATGTATCTTTGCTACAGGTATTTAATGGACGTTTTAAAATCAGAAAGCGATGTGATCAATCGCGAACAAGAGTTAGCAGAGAAATATCGCAGCGAGAGTGAGAAGATGAAGGCGCAGATACAGCGCATACAGCACGAGCCGGTCACCTTCCAGAGCTCCAGGTGTGCGGTGTGCAACAGACCTCTGGAACTGCCCACTGTACATTTTCTATGTCAACATTCCTTCCACCAGCAGTAAGTGACTCATATCAGTCAATTGGTTTTTATTAAGAAGGTCATGGACGTCTCAGTCTGTTCATTAGATAATTAAAAACTTCTCAAGTTTTTTTTTCTGCAGAACAATTGAATTCATGAAAAAATACAAAAATATTTTTCATTTTCAAATTCCCTGCTTTAAACGTTGCCAGATCATGTTGACAAAAAGTACTATATATAGATTAATGAATTATTCAATAGAGCTATGTTAGAACACCAAAACGAAGGCTTGTAACATCAAAAGAAAAAGGGGATTGAGATGTCAATTCAGTACATCTATTAATAATGCTATGGTATGAATGATATTTGTTATTTTACCATACCATTGAATAAATACTTGTAAAGCCAACTTTTAACTTCGTTATATATAGTTACTACTACCGTGGCGTTTGAATTTTGACCAACGACTGTTTAGTTGGTAGAGGGGGGAACTTGACTCCACAGATAAAAAAAATTAAAGTGGTAATTTTAGCGGTGTTGTAGATGGCAGACGAGATAATTGCGGCGACGCCATTGGCTAATAGAAGGACACGTATTTCTTAGTGTCCCATCACTAAGAAATACGTGTCCTTCTATTCCATAATAATTCCATAATGTGTGAAGCCATGTCAGTGATTGATCTACATTAAATGACATTAATTGTATATATTTAAAAATATATTTTATCTAATAACTACGTTATTATAAAAAAAGTCTTCTCGTCAAAGTATATATTTGTATACGCGTATTATTAATTTTGTTAAAACAAACTATGCGGAATCATAGATGCTTGGCTACAGCTTATTGTCATTGATGCGGCATCTATTGGAGGTTATTTGTTCTTGATTAACGAAAAGTAGCTGTTTAAACTTTAAAGCAGTTTACTAAATCGAAAAACGGCGCAAACCGCGGATAGACGGTCATGGTGAAACCATACGGGTTCCTTTTTACTACCCTTTTTAATGCGCCGAGAAAATGCTTTAAGCACGGTCCCTGCCGTCGTGCGAGCGACAACGGAGTGTGGGACTGTCCTCCGTCACCTGAGTCCTCCAGAGACTCCTCCTAGCCACCAAAACCCCTACGGTGAACCCTCTGCTGAGGTTCATTCCCCAACAGAGGGACTTGGGAAGCCTACATAATAAAAAGTAGAATGTCACGGGGTATGTGTGTTGGCAGCTGTTTCCAGAGTTACTCCGAGTCTGAGTGCGAGTGCCCCACGTGTGCCCCGAGTGGGCGTCGGCCGCCGCAGCCGCAACACGCCGCGGAGGCGATGCACGCGAGACTACGCACCGACCACGACCCGTCAGTACCATACGCATTATATGTATATAATACTAGCTGACCCGACAGACTTCGTCCTGTCAAAAAGATTTGTAATGTGGCAGTTTTTTTGCCTACGTATTTAAAAAAATTCTCCTGAACAGAACCGTCACCCTAGTGATAGGGCGTTGTAAATAAAAAATAATTAAATAAAACATATATAAGGATTTAAAAGTAAGTAATCGCTTTATTGTTAATCATGTGAATCATAATTATTATTGCAATGTATTAATAGTAATAGTATTAAATATAGAAAAAAGAGATTTTTATGATCATAAAAACACATTACACACAACAGCATTATAAAAGTAAACTATTCGAATTAAAAAAATATATAAACATTCTCAAGGAAAAATGCTGGAAGAATCCATCTACCTGTACCCCGGAATGGGACTCGAACCCATTCGCGATCCAGGGACTGCTCTAACCAATGAGCTATCTAGGACCCAACAGCTTTGCTACTACAGAGCGTATTTTCATCAATGTTCCGGCAATACATGTAATGACGTGGAAACTGATGCATTTTATCTCGCGTGCCGAAACTAATACAAAAGAAACGCGAGTTTCGGAACGCGACATTAAACTCCTCCAACTATGTATTCTGTGCTCCAACGCACACACGCACATTGTTTTGTGATAGATATGATCTTTGACATTAGGAACACACCTACATTGCTTAGACAACAGTGAGTGCTTGTAATTTAATATGAACTTTATACCATAGCAATAAAGCTCAAATTGACTACGTTTTAGTTACAAATCATTTGTATGGGAAAAAGAAAAGGGCTATTTTTAGGGTTTTTCCAGCAATAATTCTAATTTTTCTCGCCGTAAAAACCATCCTTGAACTTCAACGAACATTTTAAAAAAAGATTTGGCCAAATTGGTCGAGGCGTTGTTGAGTTATGCGCTTACCAACACATTTTGCGATTCATTTTTATATATATAGATTATGGCTGGTTTCACATCGCCAGCCATTTTACGTCCCCACTGCAGGGGCTCAGGCCTTCCTTATGGATGGTTAAGGAGGATGGGCCATGACCCTCCACGCTGGCCCAATGCGGATTGGAGGGTATTAACGACTGCAAATGTAGCCGGGACCAACGGCTTAACGTGCCTTCCGAAGCATGGAGTAGCTCAAGATAATTTTTTGGTCACCCATCCCGTGACCGACCCTTGCGAAAGTTGCTTAACGACTACGATTGCGGGCCGCGGCGCTTATCCACTACGCCACCGAGCTACTGCTGGTTTACACGTGGTTAAGTAGATTTTTAACTTAAGGCTGGCTTACACGTAATCAACTAGATTCTTATTTTAATTTCAACGAAGTATGTATTTTAAAAAAAATAGCTCCCGAAATCAAACTAGATGTCGCTACGGTACTATCTTGATTTCTCTATGACAACCCTTCCGGTTTTCTTTCATGTATAAAAGTAAATTAATTTTCGAAACACAATAAATACACAATAAATTCTATTTGTAGTTTTTCGTATTTGTATTGATATCTAATTTTCGAACTTTGCAAATTTTAGTTGATTAATATGTTTGTAAAAAGGAACGGAAATGACTATCTTTGGCCCATTCATTTCCTGCAAAAACTTTTGCTGGAGTCGCCATCTAGTGAGGTGCTTTTTAGTGTTTTTTTTTTCAATACTTCCTCATTAAGCTCATAAGTAGTTACCTAAATTTTTCTTATTTCTCGTGTTATTATTTGTGTTGTGTTGGGCTGTGTTTATACGTATTTAATAATTTAAAATTAAGTAAAAATCTACTTATCTGTTTATTAGGGTAATTTCGGTAATGAAAAATAAGTCACGAAATTGCACAAAAACTAAAATTTACATCCTAATAAACATAAAAATTCTGATTTTGAGTCTTAAAATCGCACGATCATCTTAAAATTAAGTAGTGATTTTTTGTCTGTGTGTCACGTGACTCGGAACACCAGCTATTGTATGATGCAACTGTAGCGACACCTGTCAGATTAGACATTAAAATATGCTTATAAATATAAATCAAATTATTATATCTTTTTATATATATTTCTTAAACATTGATTTCTTTTCATTTCGTTATCCATCGTTAGACGGCATTGTTCTTGTTTTATCGACATCTATTAATCTTCTACTCTATGCATCTATTATGTGTACATATGGATAATGATAATAACAGCGTTTTCGCGGGAATAAAAATGTTTAAATTTTGCTTTAATATTGAGGCAAGGAAACATGTTTATTTTTCAGAAATATTTGTTTTATGGCAATTTCATGCTTATAAGTATACACATACGAGGGTCAAACTGAAAGTTCTTAGAAAATCAAAAACTGATTACATTAGCCAGTTATTAGTTTTATTATATCTTTTCAAAATATTGTCCATTCACGTCAATACACCGCTGCATGCGATGGAACCACTGGGAAAAGCACTTTGCCCACTCGTCCTTAGGGGTCTCTTCAATGGCATCGCGATACGCAGCCACCGCTTCTTCAGCATTCATAAACCGCTTTCCTTTAAGTTTTTCTTTAATTTTTGGAAATAAATAAAAATCACAAGGCGCGAGGTCGGGGCTATACGGCGGGTGACCCAGTAATTCAACGTTTGATGTCGCCAAATAGTCGATCGTTCGCTTGGCGGTGTGCGACGAGGCGTTGTCGTGGTGAAGGAGGATCCTACTGCGAGGTCGTTTCTCTCGAACTTTTTCCAAGACAAGTGGCAAACAATTGGTAGTGTACCATTCTGCAGAAACTGTTTTTTGATCCTCTAACACAATTGTTGCAAAATGACCTATCCTTCCAAAGAACGAGGCCACCATTTTTTTCCCGCACTTCGATCTCTCTTCACTTTAGTTGGCAACTCCTCGAAAGGAAACACCCACTGAGCAGATTGTCTTTTGGTTTTAGGATCATAACAGTAAATCCAGCTTTCGTCACCTGTTAGTATGTCGAACACAGCATTTGAGTCACCTCCGTTAAATCTTTCAATCATTTTACGACACCAATCCACACGATGGAGTTTTTGAGCCTCAGTCAAATTATGAGGTATCCACCGGGCGCAAAGCTTCCTGACCGCTAAATGTTCGTGGAGGATTTTGTGCACTTGACTCATACCGATGCCTAAGCTTGTCCGAATCTGTTGATAGGTCACTCTTTTGTCAGTCTCTATCATACGCCGCACAACACAGATGTTATCTTCAGTCGTCGCCGTAGAAGGCCGTCCCTCACGTAAATCATCAGTGAGATTAGTGCGACCACGTTTAAACTCATTAAACCAGTTGTAAACAGTCGCACGAGATGGGGCTTCATCGTGAAAGGCCAATCGTAGTCTATCATAACTTTCTTGTTGACTTAAATGACATCAAAAGTCATAAAAAATCATTGCACGAAAATTTTCTCGTGTTAAATTCATGATGACGTGACACAGACAATTTTCAATTTGCCGCCAAATCGTAAAACAAATGACAAATGAATGAAATATATACTCAGTAATATTGGCAAAGAGTTATATTTTCAAATTTTAGAATTATTTTTTTATTATATTGTTTATAAGTGGCCAGTTCTAAGAACTTTCAGTTTGACCCTCGTATAAGTAAAAAAATTAAATTAATTATCTACTCAAAGACACGTTTTACTATTCAATTGATATGTATAAAATCACCATGTCGATTCACATAGTTTGACAAGACTGACAACCCAGAAGTATATCGGCGTGAAACTGATCAAACTTCAAAATCTAAATGAAAGTGACAGCTTACTAACAGATAGAGTTGCCCGTAGTGAAATTTACAGTAGTAGTCGAAGGTTTTCCCTCGAACACAATATTTATTAGCTTAATTGAATTAATTTAGAATCTATTTACTACTAAATTATGTTTAAACCAGATATTACAAACACCGACACCGCTAAAACTTGTATCTGCGACTTTGATTAAAACAGAAGGGGAAGATACGGCATACTCATAGTTGTATTGACCAAAAAGTGGCACTGATAAAATTACATAAATAAACTCGCTCACACACACGGTATTTCTAGAGCAAGTAAGATACAGATGTAAGTTTCATCTATAGCGTGAGCGAAACAGGAACTTATGATCGTTACCCACATGCGCGTAGCAACACGCCGCACAGGTGAGATCTATTCTCTCTATCACATGTACATATAGTATATACTCTTATCGTTATATCATTATATGCATGTAACATAATTTTAGTTTCCATTAATAATGCGCTTGTGCCATATATTCCTTTTTGTTTTAATCGAAGACCTGTGAGAAATATTGTTCTCTGCTTCACTCCGGACCAACCAAACAAGTGGAATCGAGCAATAATCATTTCATTAATTAAAACTTTAAACTTCTGAGTTTATTGTTTTATAGATAGCCAATGTTCTCCTATTTTTAGAATTGCTTGAAAAATATATATCACCATGACTTGCCGTTTCTGTCACCGCGCTCCTGTGATTTGTATAGAAGTCACCAATTTTCACGTGTTCGGGTGCGCGCCGCCGTAAATATTCTCAGCCACGGGGCTAGGTCACAAAAAGTCACGATTAGAGATAGTTACTAGTGCGCTCGTAGCCTTACATTTAGTATACGCTGGGTGCGAAATGGTGGGGATAACACAATCTATCGCAGCGCTCGTGGTGGCCAAAAGTATAAAACATTGCGAGCTTTGACATCTGTCATACATATCATTTCATTCAAAAACTGTTTTTTAATCATGATTTGTAATACAAAAAAACTGAAATATATATATTTTTTTTATTTATTCTTTATTGCCTAACTAAGGACAAATGGCAGACTTAATGCCATAGAGGCATTCTCTCCCAGTCAACCAGATAGATTGTACAGAACAGTAGTAGGCGGTAAAGATTAAAAACCGTACATAAAATCGTAACTATAAGTATTAGCATATACACATACAATACATATATGCATATATACATAATATTAATACACATACATTATATATACATATACCTACATTATAAGATATAACGAGTACTGAAATGGTGGTGTCTGATTATGAAATGGAAGTAGATAGGAAATAGTGGTTACGAGCTGCAGACTTAAATGCGAGCTTGTTTGGGGCGTTACGAACGTCAAATGGTAATGCATTCCATAGTCGGATGGCAGTCAGAGTGAAAGAGCTGGATACGTAGCTGGAATGGTGAGTAGGTGTTTGAAGGATCAGATTACCACTGGAGCGAAGGTTTTTCTGGTGGGAGGCCCCGAGGAAGTGAAACCTAGATTTCAAATACTCAGGAGTATGTGGATCGAAAAGAATGTTGAAGAGGGTGCATACGATCCTTAGGTTTCTGCGCTCACGAATGGGCAGCCACTTAAGTTGTTGACGGAAGTGAGAAAACTGGTCATATTTACGTAACCCGAAAACGAAGCGAATGGTATTGTTGAGAAGACGATCCAGTCTGTTGAGGAAAATCTGATTGATATCTGAAGTACAAATATCAGCATAATCAAAAAGGGGATGTACAAGGGATTGAATTAACTCAGATTTAATGCAGGAAGGAAGAAAATTCTTCAGCCGATATAGAGAACCAAGACTGCGGTGTATTTTGCGACAGATATTTTCCATCTGCCCATCCCAGTGCAAAGAACTATCAAGGACAACCCCAAGGTTTTTCACAGTATTAGTTATGGTATTACCGTGCCACCATAAAAAAAACAGCAGGAATTGAAAATTTGTTGAGCTTCGCAATTTGACGTGGGTTCCCGATGATAATGGCCTGACATTTGTCGGGGTTTACAGAAATTCCAAAACTATGTGACCATTCGGCTATCCGTGAGAGATTCCTATTGAGTAGTTCAACAGCTCCATCCAAGTTAAGAGCGTCGTTCTGCGCGTACAACTGAAGGTCATCAGCGTATAGGTGATAAGAAGTAGTAATAATGGTGGTAAGGGAGTTTATAAAAATTGAGTAGAGAAGAGGAGAGAGCACACCGCCTTGAGGAACCCCAGCAAACAGAGTACGCCAGTTTGAGACGGTATGACCTATTCGTATTGCTTGCTGGCGACCTCGAAGATAAGAGGAGAACCAAGTAAGCACTGAGGCTGAATTTTAACTTAAATCTGAATCATAATTTGTATTTTGCCAAAACAATCAATGAGGAAGTATTAAAAAAAAAAAATTGTTCCTAAAATCAAACTAAATGTCGCTACGGTACTTTCTTGATTTCTCCATGATAACCCTTTCGGTTTTCAACTGATCTTCTTTTTGTACTTTTTCGTATTTGTATTGATATCTAAGTTTCGAACTTTGCAAATTTCAGTTTTTTAATATGTTAGTTAAAAGGAACGGAAATTACTATCTTTGGTCCTTTCGTTTCCTGCAAAAATCAACTTTTGCTAGGGTCGTCATCTAGTAAGGTGCTTTTGTTAGAGCTTTCTTTTTTTTTTAAATACTTCCTCATTAGATGTGCTGAAATATATTTCTAAATTTTCTTAATGACAATTTTTTTTTTCTAACCAACATCACATGATATATTTTTTAAAGTAAAATAACATTCCGATTGATTACTTTTGGGATGATAATTATCATTATTTTAACAAGTATTTTCTAAATATAATATTTCGGTTTGCTTCAGCTGCAATCGAATGAATATAAAAAATAAAAACTCAATCGTAATTATTTCTTCTAACAGAGATTTATTACCTATTTTAAAAAACATAGACATTGCAAGGCATCAAAGTTTAATAGTCCGAAAAACGTTTACAGTACTTGACTTGAAAACGTGTTTTAGTACGCGACGAATTCGCTTGCTCTGGGGTAACTTTTATTTCTTTTAAGATATAGAATTCTATTTCAAGTTTTTATATATTACTAAAAATGCTTATGATGAATGTTGACTGAATGATGATATCTATCTAGTGGAACTTATTTTCTATTAAAATCGACATTTTTCACATACCATGAATCTAGTTCAAGCTTGTACTCATGGCTTTCATAGGAATATACATTTTGGAAAAGTGATATTGAGATTGAGGAAGTGAAACTTTGGGACCACGAATTTTTATCGACGGACAGACAAAAACTTTCAGAATATTACCCATTAATAACATAAATGGGTGATCATGAAATCTCACGTTTTAACTATATTTACATAACATTGTAGTCGAGTTACACAATAAGAATTTACATATGATTTACTTTTAGAATACCATAGCAACGACTCACTTTGTTTACTAACCACATCTTAAAATATATGTTGTCTCAGGTGCAATTTATAGTATCGAAATATAATATTCCTCGCACAAAAATAAAGGCAAAGCAAATTTCACTGTAAAATCAAACTGTAAAAAATCAAGCTGTAAAAACACAATCATACAAAATATGTTCTACATTTTAATTTCGTTTTTTCTCGTACAGAATTTAATATTTGCGGGAGACCCTAAAAAGCTTTAACTATAAATTAGAATGTTTATCATAAAGAAAAATGCTTTAAAAAATCACTAATACAAGGTTAATTGTGAATGTACAATTAGTCGAAAATAATACTATACTAATTTGTTACGGTATCTGTTACGCCTAACTTTTGATCACCTTTTGATTTAGGAAATTTAATTAATCGCCCGCAATGCAGTGTTATTGTTTTGTAATCATTGAATTGAGAGCCGGTGTTTATTTCCTATATACAATCCATACATATTCCATATTTAGTTCCATAGTCATAATTCATTCCCGCGAATTCACCCGCGTAAATTTTACGCAATGACACCCGCATGTGATGTAGCCAAAAGAGTTCATGGTCAGTTTCGCATTTCTGAAGACTACAAACAAACCAAATTAGAAACTGTACCTCTTTATAATATTAGTATCATAATTATCACTCCTTTTACCATAACCTTTCCCGCTGTCTCAATGCGGGCTGGAGGGTAATTAACGACTGCAAACATAACCCTAGATAACAATTTTTTTGGTCACCCATCCCGTGACCAACCATTGCGAAAGTTTCTTAACAACAACGACCGCGGGCCGCGGCGCATATCCACTACTAATTAATAATACTATTATTACTAAATATATTAGTATAGATGTAAAGTATTTTCAGTTATTCATCTTTGGATTAATGGATATTATCAAGCGTTTGTAAACAGTTCGCGTTTCGCTCCAATAAGTAACATACGTGCGGTATTAAATACGTCATCCAACGTTACCGAGGATTAACTTGCCATTATACATTGCGTTATCAGTAGATCATTAAGTTCATTATAGTTACCGTATTTTGTTATACCGTTTGCGTTTAGTTGAATCTTTAAATAGATCGTTCATATAGTGATGAATCCGTCTATTTCGACGTTAGTGTTGTTCCCGCCGTTCTCTTGGTGTTTTCCTGCGCGTACGCATGTTGACGACGGGTGAGGGGGAGTTGTTGATTTTGTGTTGGCACCACGTTGTTATTTGTTATCAGCTGATTAGGTTATCGACGCTGTCGTTCGTGTTTTTTTATTATCTAACTTGTAAACGAAACAGTTGTCAAAATAATCGGTTAATGTTTGTATATAGGATAGTAGTATTTAAGTTTTTGATTTTAATATATCGAACGTTATTATATTTTCAATAAAAATCTACATAACAAGCTGTTTTGCAACTACTCCGCCCGCGTATGAAGTAGATTCCCATACGTGAAAGAATTTTCATAATTGGGTCAGAATTAGCGCGTAATCATTTTTATGATAATTTAAAAGTTGTTACATTTTATAATAAACTTTCATTATTATATCATTAGCTTATTATTAATTATCTTCATTCCTGGGTTACAATCTTTTCCTATGGATGGACGCTCAGGAAGAACCGCAGGCCTACTCGTAATTACAATTGGCTTCGATTTGGTTGATATTGGATTAAATTAAAATATACTGTTACTAACAATATAGTATAAAAAGTAGAGTACATTCTGATTGAATTCAAAGTTGACTAGATCGAAACCAATGTAATTACGTGGTAGGACCCCGGTTCTCAACCCACCGTACCGTAATAAATATTAGATAGCATCACATACATTGCTCAGCTTCTAAGATAAGTAAATAAAGCTCGCATACTATGGAGTTTATGAAAAAGGCCATGACACCAGAGACAATGTAGAAGATTTAATTTTCTACATTAGCTCGACCGGAAACCAGGTACTTGAGACCACGCACGAGCCACTCTGATAATAATCTCTATATGCAGATACGCGGTAGTGTCAGAATACTATGGCCGTGGGCTGTTCAATAAGCTGACTGTGGTGACGGGGTCGCATGAAACGCCGCCCGCTTCCGCTCCAGCTCCCGCCCCCGCTCCTGCGGCCGCTCCCGCTCCCGCGCCCGCGCAAACGTACGGACCGGGTGCGGAGGCGAAACTAAGACTGCAAGAAGGACATAGCAAGTTGGGTGAGTATACGATTTTGATAACACTCAAGTTTTTAATGTCAGTAACTGCGTTGGCCCAGATAAGGAGGGAATAGTGAAATTTCACATACTTTCTTAAAGTAATTGAAAACTATATACAACGTGTCCCAAAATTCAACAATAAGTGGGCGCCAAGAGGTAGACCTGCTCATGTGTACATATGGAAAAATAAGAAAAAAATTATATCTTATTAATCTTTTTTATTATAAAATTATATTCGAAAATTTTCGAAAATTTACACCTTTTATGATATTTTCAACTTACTTTTACTTTTACTTTTTTACTTAGGTATCCGATACCAAAAAAAGATTGAACATAATTGAGAAGTTGTGGTCGTGGTAGTTGAAAATATCATAAAAGGTGTAAATTTTAGAAGATTTTCGAATTTAATTTTATAATAAAAAAGATTAATAAGATATAATTTTTTTCTTATTTTTCCATATGTACACATGAACAGGTCTACCTCTTGGCGCCCGCTTATCGTTGAATTTTGGGACACGTTGTATATTTGCTATTCTCACAGCAAGCTTGCAAAACGTTATTTTATATTTTATAATGTACCCCCAAAAGTTGCAGTAAGCAATAGGGATGATGACTAATTTTTGTTCGTTTGTCCATCGGGTAGAGTGTTAAAAAATATTAAACACGTATTTTTTTCGTAATCATAAAATTACGGCGTTACATTGAGTTGAAATTTCGCATGACGTCACGTTAGGGTACGTTTTCTACTAAACTGTGACGTAGCAAGCCCCCACTCCTCAACTTTAATGCCTGTTATCTAAGCTATTTCTTGTTCAATTCAAGTAAAAAAAAATACGCATCTAATATTTTTCTATTATCTGAATGACGGACTAAATAGAATTGCATTCTTTTTACCTAGTCATCATCCCTATTTTAGGTGCTTAAGGTGCAAAAAAAATTATACCGTGTTGTTGTGCCGCAACAGATTCACGTGCACCTAGTAATGTACCTAATGTATCTGTACAGTGTCTACCAACTCGTCTAAGCCTGGTTCGGGCGTGGTGCCAGTGCCGGAGGGAAGAATGCGCGCAAACGAGCGAGTTTTAGAACAACAACGCTACAGCTCCAGTCTTGAGGCCAATCTCAACCGGCTAGAGCCAATCAGGCAAAAGTAAGGAACATACACTTTCATACTTAAAACAATAAAAAAAATGTCCTTACCGTTTCTCCTGACAGAAGAATTCTTAACATCAGATCTATGATCGTTAACAGGGTTTCGGTTCTGCTATTGTTAACAAAATAATGGTACTTATTAATACAATAATGTCTTGATAATATGTTAACAGATTATTTTGTTATATTTTGTTATTGTGATATAGTGACAAGAATTGTGTTAAAAAAGAATGCTATTGAAAAGCCAAAATTTAATTCCTTATCGCGGCCATTTAAATTCATTTTGATAAAAAATATTTTTGATCATTTTATTTATCATAATAACTATCGTCCTTCGTCTGTCTGCCACAAGGCAAAATTTTTAAATCATTTATACGCAGACATTTTTATATAATTCACGACAAATGCTTATTTTTGCTCCAAAAATTATGAAAAAGTAATTGTGATAATTGCAGGACTTCACCTCTAGCGTCGCCGAAACCAGGTAGGAGAGAAGAGCAATCAGCCCGGGGTTCACCAAAGATATCATCAGCTATCGCCAATGAGACCGCCAAGAACCCCTTCGAGGAACCCGTGTATGATGAAACCAAAAACCCGTTCGCTGACGACGAAGCTAACGACCCCACGAACCCTTTTGCTGAAGACGAAGATTACGATAAAAATTTAAACCCTTTCTCTTGAACTGATAATATGTAATTTTAGGTTATTGTGCAAAATTTGAGGGCCAGAGCACGATCAATAATATTCTAGATTCTCTTCCAACTTTTAATTATGAAATAACTGGCATATATTTAAATAAAGTAAGAAATGATTTGGATATTATAAATAACAGCTGCGTATGTAAAACTTCAATAAATTACGTCTTAGGTATTACGATAAAAAAGAATTGATTATAGAAAGGTAATTTGCGGAATATTTTTTTTAAAAGAAATTCACGATTTTTCAGTTCCCGTTAAAAGATCTCTTAGTTTAATATAGTTATAATCAAATGTGTTTATTTAAAATATATTACTTAATACTAGAGAAAAGACAGAAGCACGTATTAGGCACATAAGCGCGAACCTTTTTTTTCTTACTATCGAGTCAAAGAGTTCTTGCGGTGGCGCTTGAATACGTGACAAAATGGGGTAGTATAGTATAGTAATGTAAAAAAATTAAAAATAAATATTCTGATTTTGAGTCATAAAATATCACGATTATCTTATTATCTTTAATTTCGGGATTTTCATCTGTGTCTCACGTGATTTAGAACACGACCCGCCATGTTTAGTAAGATTTGTCATAAAAAGATGCATATTTATTATAAATCAAATTTATAGATGGCGCTCTTCTTAACTTATTTTTATCTTTTCATTTTGTAACCAGATGGCACTGTTCTTGTCTGATTGATAATCAATACTCTAAGCCTCTGTTTTATGTACATTTCATTTACGGAATTACATCATAAATATAAAGGACAGCAATTGGCGAATATAAAAAAAATTAATTTTTATTATAAATTTTAGGCAAAAACGTATTTATCCGAAATATTTGTTTTATAGTTATATAAAGATATGAAGTGGTATAGTTTGGCGACAGAAGCAATAAGTCACAACGATCAGTAATCACCAATGAGTGCATAGACGGATTTGTATGTTGTATCAAATTTTAAAACGTTTCAGGTATAAATTAAAGAATATCCAGATTCCGTGTCCCCTACAAAGCGCAACGACGAAAGTGAAGCAGTTTGAATGAACAAAGAGATTTTCATTTATGTGAGTGACACGAGTGATAACAGTATACAATGATTACCCCAAAGTGTTGGAAATTTTAAATTATTAATATGATCAATAAAATTTCAAAATGTCATTTCTCAAAAGTATAAATGATATATAAAATACATTGTAAGAAACGTGTTAAATAATGTATCCTAATATACCCAAAACGTCATTTTTTAATTTATTGGTAGAGAATAAATCACAAAGTTATACCGAAATTCATCATATTTTCATCTTTTGTTGTCATTACACCTTTAGATGTAAATCACTTTGTAACCGAAGGAGTTATGCAGCACTTTTATTATTATAGTTTACGAGTGATTATTTAAAAGAGGTAAAAACCTATTTTGCCGCATAGTTAGTTATCCAATGTTCTTATATATCGCATTGTCGGACGCATATTAGTACCATCAGTATTTCAAAATAAAGGTTATTGATCCAGTTGGAAATGTATATAAAAACTTTTAAAAAATAAAGCTTTTATTTACAAATTAATATATAATAAAACAAGGATGCTAATTTTGGTACATTTTCTTGCTTATCAAAGACATGTTTTCAGTGGCTTCCCCCGCGTGGTCCCTAGGGAACTGCTTAGTGAGATAAAAAGTGGTCGATATGTTAATCCACGCTCAGACGCTCGCTGTATACGATTTATTTAAAAATACGGTAAGCAACAATATTATAAAAAGGGGAAATAAATTTTACACCCATAAGAGAAATGTATAACATATTATATTATTTTACTCTTTGGTCGTTTTTATCAGTTTTTTATTTAATACTATATAAAAAGAAATACGCCAACAAATTAATTTCTTATTAATGAAAGGTCATTCTTAAAATCTTATCTTTCTTGTGAATATAATTTAATCATGATTTCAAAACACAAACATAAATTTTATTTAAAAAAAATCTTGACAAAAATGCGCGACGAACGTCATTGAGATTCTCTCGACAAGACTCGCCAAAACACTTCTTTGGGGGTCTAAGTGGCATTCAATTTTTAGGTACAGACTCGGTATCTGGATATAAACTAAGGTTACAGGGTGCTGAGTATGATAATAATAAATTTTCACGTTGGTTCACAATCGATTTTCATATGGATTCCAAAACAGCGCCTATAGCGACAAAAATTACTCTCATACAAACTCATACTCACGAACTTGATGCTTTACGAGCTAGCTCCGTTACCGTGCAGAAATATATAACATTTTGACTGATCATAACAAAACGAAGTGTTGTGGCTTACGACTATGCCTTTGATCATCGCTATTATAAATTAGTTATCGCTATAAAATTCTTGTTTCAAACTTTTTAGAGTCGGTTTTAGCTGTAGTATGGTTTTAATTTTTGAACGATGAAATTGTAAATTTAAACGCTGTAATTAGTCATGGTAAGCTTTCATTTTAGTCAATACATTTTGTCTTTTGTCGAACGACCCAAACTTTTCTATTTGGCCGATACTATAAATGAGAATCAAGAATTTTGGGCAATCAACTTCAACAAGAGTAAACAGCTGGATAAACTGCTCTCAACAAGAGTAAACTGCTTTCTGCATCTCGATACGCCCTTGTGTATAAAGTAAAGATGGAGAAATCTTTATGCTATTACCAATTACATAATCCATTTCAAGCATACAAGTATCATAATAATTATATAAGTATCCAATGCAAAAAAAAATGCATAAATATAGGCATTTGAAATCGGAAAAATATATATTTAAATTGTAATACATTAGTATATGTTTTGTTTAAGTGTATAACGTGTCTTATTTTAGTCATATTTTATGTAAAGTTGATTATTATAAAAATAAATAAATATATAACAGTTCTTGGTTTGTGTCTTCTATCTTCATACACCAGTAGTTGTGTTGAGTGCAGAATCCTCTTTAACAGTCGATTATACAGGATCAAGGAAGCAATCGCCAATTACTCTAGCTATAACTCTAGCCATAAAAGCGACGTATATAGCGCTATTTCGTTTTATTTTACTACTTTGACATATACTTAAACAACGAAGACCGAATGATAAAGAATGACGGATTTGACAGCATTGTTTCAATTAATTTATTTCAATTTATCCCAAATCCACAAAAAGACATGGTCAGTTGCACAAACGTCCACTATGGTTTAATGACGCCTTGCAGCTCTAATGAATAGTATCGGTAATCTCGCTTTAAACTAATGACAATTTTAATGAACGTTAGTGCAACTGACTGATATTAAAATAGTAAAATGAAACGAAATATCGTCAAGGTATTCGCTTAGATGTCATATCCTATGAGGGTTAGACGGTCGCTCAGCTGATGCCTATCCTATTCTATCAATATTTATTCTGTATTTTTTTATAGGTAATTCAATGCATTTGTTGCTTTCATACAAAAGTGTCGCAATCTTTGAGGTTCCAGGTTCGAGTGCCAGTCGCATCAGTGTAAAAAATGAACTTTTCTGTACAGTGTGAGATCCGTGTGTTATGGTACCCTCGTTATCTCAGATTTCAATAATACTGGTAAATACTTTAGTTACTTAATTTAACATCTGATCAACGAATGTGATATTTTCTATACTAAAATATCAATTGAATTTACCACTCAAATGTTAACTCTACGCGCAACTAGTACTCCATCATTGGAAAAAGGTGGAAAGCTCGTCGTATGTGCTAGGCTAAATGTCACATTATATATTTGTCAGTTCTGGCGTTCCGCGACCTATACGAAACACGGTGCGTCTTGCGTCAGATATGTACCCTAATATAATTTCGTCTCTTCCAAAGTAATCGTATCCAATTTCTATAACATAATCGTGTTACAATTTGTTGAAAAAATATCACTCATATTTCAACAATTTATGCTCGTTAAAACTATATAGAATCTTGGTACGGGTGTTCTTTTTAATTAATTACATTTAATGTGTATACAGATACGTGAGCTTTTCAACTTAAAATGGATACCAGAGGAAATAGAAACAATAATGTGGAAATTTTCAAAGCATTTTATTTATGACCTTTATAACACTGTGTATAATATATTTTGATAGTACATTTAGAGCAATGAGTAATATTACCAATCATTACATTGTTCTTATTTTCATAAATTGAATGAAATCCATAAATTATATATAGAATATATAATTTCTCAAATATCATTCTCACCCAACAATCAACAATCTCTATCAAAATCACAAGGTTAGACCCTCCCCGCCCGCGCCCCGCGCTCCTTTAAGCACAGAACAAAGTATACAAGCTCAGTATTGCGAAAACAGTTACAAACAACCATTACTCAAAATAAATTACAATAAACAGTGAAATTAACCTCTCAAAACAACAGCTAGTCCTATAAAAATAGCGGATATAGCTTAAACAGTATAGTCTATAAAAATATAATCCCAGCCTCGGCTGTAATCTCTAATTTCAACTTCATAATTTAAAAATTAACTAAACATACTTTTTAAGCAAAATTTACATAAATATTATAAATAAATCACAAAGAAATAATTATACAAAACAACCGCCGCGTCGCTCACCCGTGATTTTTATAACTCTGCCCGCTATTTAACTACGTAAACATCATTTTGCTATGCAAAATACATTATCCTATTATCGAAAATAAAAAAGGACATAAAACCACCTTCTGGAATGTAAAATATAATAATATGACTAGATAAAGAAGTTATTCAATATTGTTTATTGTGTCATTTCATTTTGAGATCTTATTTATTCGTTTATCAATTTCAATACAAATACATTTAGAAGATTTAAATAAATTAACTACTCCGAAGGATTAGGACGTACTCTACAATAATGTTTTGGACATTCAAAAGCTTTACTCCCAGAAACATCACGCGAAGTGTTTAAATATTTGGAAGAAAATTAATATAAACGGAAATACCTAATTAAACCACTTCCATTCCCACGTAGATAACTTGTATGAATTATATTAAATTTTAAGAAACATTTTAACACACAGCATGACTAATTTGGATAATACTTTTGATCTTACATCTATTTTATTTTAGTCTATGCTAAATTATTATCAGGATATTTCCTAGTGTTTAGCACAGTATGTCTATACTATTCAGTGTGTAAGCGGGTGACGTAATTTAAACAAAACGAATAGAAGCAAAACAGTTCATCTGTAATTATTTACTTAACAAATATTAAATTATTTACAACGTCTGAATGTCATTTAAGCTTAATATGTTCTCAAGTATAACTATTTATTTTTTAATTATTTCGAATGGGAAAATAGTCACCTAAAAGCGATAGTATAGTGATAATATTATCATTTTTTTTCAACATTTATCGAAGCTTCAACAAGTTTTAATAATGCTCAAACTTACAACAGACTCTTGAGACGAAAGAAAATAAACATCATCCATATAAAACTACAGTCACATACATTATCTAACTACAATGATATATAAATGTATTTTTGTATAAATGTTATAGTGAACTATGGACATTTAGAACGGCTTTGTGAATTCGCCAGTATCTGTGTACAACGTATAATAGTTCATCTATTATTACTACTAGGTGATTGTTTCGAGCACAGCGTTCATGAAACTATGGAGCTACGCCTATCACATATTATGTACTACACAGCTAGTACGTGACTAGATAATACAAGTTGGAATGTTTGAAACCTTGTCGACGTTAATGTAAGCTAAACACTCGCGAAATTATATGAGAAATCAAAATCTAACCATGAAACGTTCACATTAACCTACTTTATACAATCTTCTGAAATAATTCATTTATTAATATTACTACAAATAAAATTAATCAAAACGACACAGGAAACATAAAATATTGATTTCAGACTTTAAAGTAAAATTAAAGTGACAATATAAAAAAAACACGATGTTTTTTCTCGATAACTCATAATCTAAATTTAATTACGTCGTTACGATTAATGTTATGTATTTACAATAAATACCAAAACATGAAAAGAACCATTACGTATGACATCATACGAATACGGACTATCGCCATTTTCAACTGGCCTTTTGAGCCTCAAAATATATATTTATTCTACCTTTCGGGTCATACGTATATACAAGGTAAATTACATATAATAACTGTATTCAACATTAGAAGAAAATCTATATATTATTTTCAGTAATTTGTCCTCTCACAATTCAATTCATATTAAATTCTTATATCTCGCCTTAGAAAATGGAGTCTATCGGACGTCGCTGACAAAATACATTTGTGCGCAACAACACATCAGGCTTATTGCATAGCGTAACCAGCGGACAACGAGCTTCTGTCTGTTATTTGTACCAGTACTTGACACTTTATGAAATATGACAATGTGGAATAGCAAGCGTTGATAATAATTGAATAACGATGGGGAAGACAGGTTCACTCGTATAATATTACCTTCACAAAAATCGCAATGTTTTACTGCGCAGCCTTCCCCAAAAACCATATCTGTGAATCTTACATTATAATCTGGTCACAAAAACAACGCCGGTCCATGGCCGCTGCATACATTAAAATACACTTAGATAGAATAAATGTAAAGAGCTTATAAACAACGAGCATCCTTCTTAATAGACATTGAAACAGCCAAAATCATAAACTCTACTAATAAATTATTGTTCGATTATTAAAATTAGACCCCACTGTAAATATAACTCATCTCTACCCCGATCCAGTTTATCAGTGCACCGGTTTGGTCCCGACTGCTCACAATTTTCGACAATCGAATACATCGTAATCGAATACGATAGTAAAAGACATTAAAATATAATTTAACATATTAATATAAATATATTTACGTATAAATCGTATTTCACATTAAATGCACCTGGATTTAATAATACTGCTTAAGATTGGAAGATATGCAAAAATAATTGATTTAACGGTTACTGATATTAAAACTCATCTATTCTCCTCTTATTGTGGTCCCTGTATACAAATAAAGAGGAATAAAATCAGACTATGATGGACCACAAATCGTTTAGTGCACGTACCGAACGAAATCGTTCTTGTGTACTTTCACGTGTCTGATAACCTTTCCACCAAACCAGCCACAGATGAAATCCCTCTTTAATGATTTGGGCTTATGTCACTTTAATTCCTCCACAACAGGTAGCGTTCGCAGCTTAGAACATCTCCGTTTACACATAATAAAACTGACATCATTAAGTCAATACCGAACTCCTAGATTTCGCTAAGGGGTATTGGCAAATCCCATTCACACACAATCACGGTAATGTTCCAAGATATTATTTATGCATCAAACGGTAACCTGAAAGGCGTTACTCGATCGGAATAACTAACGCCCTTACAACTTTCTGGGTGATAACAACATATTATATAAAGTTACACTTTATATCAATGTTTCACATATTTAGATGATACTGTAATTCGGAGGAGCTAAAGTGAAGAGCGTTCGTGTGCCGTTTCAATACCTCAAAGGATGCGCGCCGCGTACACGCCCGTGCGCACGGCGTTGCGCGTCGGTGACGCGTTTAATAAACGAGGATAGACTCCATGGTGAGGCTGTCTCATGCCTGCGCCGGCGGCGGCTGCTGTTTGTCGCCGCGGCGTGCGGACCGCGACCTGTGTGCGGAAACCTTTATGCGTGTATATTGACGTGGGTCGAGTTGAATCAAATGGCTCGATTGACCCTTTACTGACAACGTACTTGTTCCTCGGAAGGCCAGGCGCTTCCCTGTCCATATACATACATAACAATGGAGCAGCCGAGTTGTTATTATTGCGATATATTAAAATGTATTTAAAAAAAACTAAGATATTTAGTCATTAGTAAAGGGTCTAATTCACTACAACTCAAAAAGACAGACAATATATAAGAGATCAAAACCAAATGAGAGACAGTTAAGAAAAAACTTGACTAAATTAAACAAAGTACAGTGACATGCACATTAATCAAAAATAGCATTATTACTGCCTTGCATTTTAACTCAATATAGACGTTATCGCAAATGAAATAGTAGTCCTCAATATCAAAAGAGTAAGTGATCTCACCTAATCTGTCCGGCGAGCAGAGGATTGATGGCATATAGCCAGTCGTGGACTTCCTTATCGCCGAGCGTCTGCAGCAAGTAACCGCGCTCTTTGCTCACCACACTAACAGAACCCAAAAAAAAATATGATCACACAAAAGTTTACAATTTTATAAATACATATTAATTCGCTATCATAAATTTATTAAATTTGCATTTGAAAAATATATTATTTTTTTATAATATTATCATTTACCTATATAATATAAATGTCATCTTTTTCTTCATAATAAAAAGTGATAAGCGGTGCTGAAAGAGCTTCTTATGTATGAAAGTATGTGTTCCAACTAATAAATCCTGTCATGGAAGTATATCATTAAAAAAATTCAACAGACTAAATACTACCAAACCAATTTAACTGTAAATACCTGAACGTGTTAGGCATGCGGACCATCTGTTCTTGGTCTTCGGAGTATTCGACGTGGGCGTTGGCGAGGTTAATGACCGCACGCTCGATAGGATCGCGCTCGTCCCGGTATATGAATACGTACGGTCGTCGCACCACCTGCATTACAGTTAACAACTATACAAAGTGCGTTTCACATTATAAGTACTAGAGATTATGATTAGCTTCGATTTGTTTGTCCGTCAAGTAGATAATTGAAGAATATTGAATTCGTTTTTTTTTTGTAAAAAATAAATTACGACGACACTTTGAGTTGAAATGTCGCATGACGTCACGCTTTTGTACATTTTCTAAAAACTGTGACTTAGCGAGCCCCACTCCTCAACTTTAATGCCAATTATCTAAGCTATATCTTGTTTAAATTGAAGTATCTAATATTTTTATATAATGTGACTGACAGACTATGTAGAATTTTTCAATGTTTTAGTAGCAAGTGGCACTAAAATATGCGCTCTTGACTTCGTATTTATCTCTAAAACTGGTATATAGTCCAGTTTTCTTGTTATATTTATTCCCAAATGAGTTTTGGTACGTAAAAGTAATATTATTTTGAAAGACATCGTATTATGAAAGCGAAATATGTGGGAATGTGAAATGGTCATTTCTTTCCTGTTTGCATTTCTGATATAAATTCCTGCATTTTTCGATTACATCTGCAAATTCCGAAGAGTTTCCTAAGACCAACGTTTTCGAGTAAACAGAAGAAATATTACTACTGCGATTTTATTCATAATTCAATCTGATATCTCATCAATATCATATTTGTATGTCTCGACAGTTCTACAAGATAATAAAAAGGCAACATAATAAGGAATATGGATCTTAAGACAATATTTCAATTTAATTCAAGAAAGAATAGGTGTATGATATTTACCAGCCATCGTTTCTTCCACCCGTGCGTGCCGTGCTGCAGCACGTTGAGATGGCCGCGTCGCGCGACAGCGGCGGACACGCGCACCTCCTCACAGTCGGGCACATACAGCGCCCCCCCGCCCGCCATCCCCACCCCACCCACGCCTCCCACAGCGCCCACCCCTCCCACGCCCGCCCAACCCGCCATTGACTTTTCTAACAGCGCGCGCTCCGGCGAACATAACCTACAAGTCATGAATTTTAAAGAATCGTGTCCAAAATTAATCAAAAAATTTAAAAATGCTTATTGTTTACGAATTTCATATCAGTAAATTAAACCTTAAAATAAAGTCAGAATATAAAAGTATTATAACAACTACCCGCATGCGATTCTGACCCTAAAATGACAAGATCCAACACGTCATCGGTGAGATACAGACAGATTTTTGTCTTCTGGCCTATCATCAGAGCCGTAGGGGCCATTTGCCTGATACTTTATTCCATACTTAATCGGGATATGGCAATTTACATTACAATCCAATAATAATATCCAATAACTTGTTTCCTTTTTTATAACATTAGAATACAAAAATGTGGACTTACTCAAAGCTGCTAGCGCTGTGTATGGAGGACAGTAGACTGGGCGTGGATATATCCGCGGATACTCCTTCGTCGACGGGCGTGGCCGGCGATACAGCTGTCTCCACCTCCTTGCCGGACGAACCTATCCTTCCTAAGATAAAACAAAACCAATCTATTAATACTAACAATAAGTTTTAAAATTTAGTACAAATAGTGAAATTAAGTTAACTAACAAAAATACCTTTACGTGTATTTGCCGACACACCTCCCGCAATGGGAAGTAACGAAGAACATGTACGAGCTTTTGCATCTGATATATATTGTAAGTCGGATTTTTGTACTGTTCAATATTTTCAACGTCTATAAAATGCTATGTTAAGGAAAAATACTTTGCGCGGCACTAAGCTATATGTGTCTCCTCTCATTGATTAAATTTATCTTTATAAGACCATATGACATAAGACATAAAGCTTTAACAAATGATACGTACCTATTTAAGTACATTGAAAATATACATACTACTTAAACAGGGTGTTTTAAGTCCTAATAAGAGCATTTCACTTTAATTTAATCAAATTAGGGTTGAAACTATTCGAGTACGATACTTCAACACTAACCTTGTATGAGTTTGACGTATTTGAGTGAGAGTTCCTTCTCGCGCGGGGTCATATCCCACGGCTCGTATACTGAATCATCGCGTTGCGCGTGCGCACACTCCGACGCCGCTTTGGCAGCCATATTTGATACTTCCTATAACCATGAAACGTGAATCTTATTAGGGTTTATTCATTATGTTAATGAATTAAACTTCAATATAAAGGAATTATTTTAACGATTTGAAATATCGACATGTTTACATTCGTTAATATTTTGTTTTCAACATATTCACAATGTAAAACTAAACGTTCGTCGTGTGAAAAAGAACGCGACAGAGTGAAATTCTCGTGATCCTTCATTTCGTTTGCTTATTCCTTCCGTTTATTTATGCCTTTTGAAACACCGTTTACTCTATTTATAAAATCAATTCATAGGTTAATCGTAGATAAACCTGAAAATCTTAAATAGCATTCCTTTTCAACACATCAGGTTATACAAAACCGACAAAATTTTCCAATTGATATAGAGTTTATAATTGAATGTGGAAATTTTAATATAGTGCTATGTATATTTAATCAAGAGTTAGTTACCTTCTCTGTTTTGGTGAAGTCGTTTGGTGCTACAGCGTTGTCATGTCCATGTCGCAAACGTTCTCGAAGCGCCAGGAAATGTCGCGTGCGACCAACCTGTTCTAGCCTAGTCATCTTCTCGAGCTCCCACTGTAAGACATCAAAGTTATACAATTGATTGTTACTGGGATATTGTATTTTAAATACAAAGAAGAAGAACAGATGATCTAGATCGAAAATGAAGGAATTAACAATGTTTCTGACTATCACTGTTATAAGAATGGAATGTGGAAATTATTTGAGATAGATACGTATATGTAAGAAGATAGTTTATTTGAGTAATGTATTTTAAAAACACATTATGAACGTACCGATACAGAGGTATCTTAATTGTTTGTACTTTAAAGTTGTGTTCGATACTAATTTATTATCTACATACGTATATCACTTATTAAAAATTATATCGGGAAATGACGTCCTAGACAACAATAGCTTAATTTGTAGGAGCGCTGGCATGGTAGTGGAACTATTCAATTTTTAGTCATTCTCAAGAGATTATTAAATATATCACTATAAGCCCAACAATCATGGCGTGTAGTGAATATTTCATAGAACAGAAAACGATCTTGTTTCGATAGCTATAAGGTATAAAATACAACAGCTTGAATCATTTTGTTTCCCCTTTTTTGCTTCGTTTCGAAATTTAACTCCTGCATAGATACATCGGTAAACAATGTACAAGTTATTGTACTGATATGTTAATAGAAAGTATTACGGAATTTAGTGGATTCGAGTTCGGGTTAGGATTTTTATAGAATCGCAGGGCAGTTACCTGGTGATCGAATATAAGCGAGTCTCCCCTGGGCCGCCAGCCGTGTAAGTTCTCCTCGCCTCGTACGTACGTGCCGCTAGTGTCTAACACACGACGCTGTCTGCGTTGCACACCTATACATAAAATATAAATTTACAAATTAATACCTCACTAGACAGTCGAATATTTGATCTATATATTTTTAATATCAGGCTAGTCTATATATTAAACCTATTTTCATATCAACTCGAACATAAGATTTTATTTGTATTTAAACTACAATGTGAATTACGGTTATATAATATATATTTTGGAAATATAAAATATATCATGTTCTAGATAGATAGAAATGGTAATAATATCTTAATGATTCATCTAAGAACATCGTTACCGCCTCCTTTAGATGTAAAAATAAAGTGTCATTGGAGTCAGCCAAAAATTCTCGATATCAAATAAATTATAAATATTCTAAACCATCGCTGGCTGTTTCTTCTCTTTAACCGCGTTTATATTCGCTCAGAAAAAAAATCATAAAACAAAATTATTTAAATTTTCGAGCGTAGATATTTACTATATACAGTTTATAGTTATTTCAGATGTTTATTTAAACTAGACAATTTGATTTTAGTCATCAATTGGCTTTGATCGATTCATGATCCAGATTGATCGTCTAATGGTCAATTAATATATAATATAATACATATTGAATATAGTAAAAAGTATCTAAAATAATAATAAACTGTCTACAGGTATAATAATAATAATCTCCCGTTCAGAGAGACAGTGGTCTATGTGTCTAGTGACCTGGTTCCAGTGCCCGGTGCAGACTGAGCTCGTACAGGCCCGCAATGCGGTCGGCGCGTGCGGCCCTGGACCCGAACAAGGCCCGTTTGAGCGAGCGGCCCGAGCGTGCTTCGCGACCCACCACCACCACGGACAGGTCCTTGGTGATTATGGCTGGGCGACCGCAGTTCTCCACCTAACGCGACAATCTACATTACTACCTATTCGTACGGATGAGGAAGTATTTAAAAAAAAAACATTAGTTCCCGAAATCTAACTAGATGTCGCTACGGTACGTTCTTGATTTCTCCATGACAACCTTACCGGTTTTCTTTCGTGTTAAAATGTAAATTAGTTCTCAAAACTCAATAAACAACTCATATTCTATTTGTGCTTTTTCGTATTTTTTGATATCTGAGTTTCGAACTTTTCAAACTTCATTTTTTGGTATGTTAGTTAATAGGAACGGAAATTACTGTCTTTGGTCCGTTCGTTTCCTGCAAAGATCAACTTTTGCTAGAGTCGCCATCTAGTGGAGGTGCTTTTTAGTGCTTTCGTTTTTTTTAAATACTTCCTCATTAATATGACACCCGACGGCCTTTTCTATTTCTTTGAAAACGAAATTTTCTATCAATACGGAAGTTAACAGTATACGAAAATAAATACTACGCGTTCGAGGTAACATACTCGAGATAATATTTTTTTCTAATACATGATTAAATATTATGTTGAGCAAATAATAAAAATCTCCTTTCCTACTTAGACTCACAATGTTTACATTTTTTTATAAGATTTATTTGATATAAGATTGGTTCGATTCACGAATACCTACATAAAAAATATACATTCAAAGTTCAAAACAGAACAACAATCAGAATAGGGAATATATCGGACTATTTTCAAATCAGCATTTTCAATTAATCAAAAAAGGATATTTATCCAAATAAAAATATCTTTTTTATGTATAGAAAATAATGTTTTAATTTTTATTCGTTAAAGCTACTCATAGGATATGACGTCATTTAATTTATGGAGTAAAATAATGATATATCGTATGCTAATTTTATATGCAAATAAATAAAGTACTAAAATGATCCTACTAATCTGTTAAATTATTGTACACTTTGAACGTTTTCCACACCTTTCCTAGATAATTTTGATACCAAATTACTCACGTATGAGGTCACTCGTTATGATTTGTGATTTGTATGACGCGAACACAGATTAAAATTTTTGAAAGATAATATTTTATTTCCTGGGCTGCGATTCTTTAAAAACCCAAACCAGTATTCAAATTCACTCAGGTATCCGAATTCACATTTCGTACCATAAGTTTCTATAAGTAAAATGTATAAGTGTATATCTGAAAAATGTATAATCAATCAATTTGTTTTGTATTTTTATACAAAAAAAAAAAAAGGAAATCAACAGAAATTCTTCTCTAAATTCGAATTTGGGTACGGATTTTTTATAGAATCGCTTACTCTATTATTGTTTAGCAAAAAAAATATCGCGTATAATTTTATCAACTTTTTAACCAAAAACATTTTAACTTTTGGTCTGGTTGTTGTTCGATTTTATATAACGTTTCTAATAAATGTCAACGGCATGATTAAAAACGCGTTCTAAAACCCGAGTCAGCAGTTTATCTTACCTCTAAGTATGCACTGAGCGTGATGTAGACCACTTCACCGTTGGCACTAACCCTGTTGAGTAGTGGTGAGCCATGCAAGCTACTATCCCATGCCGCCTCAAACCTAGCCACAGAACACCATCATTCATTATTTTTTATATCCATATTAATATTTTGATGTCAAGCATCAAAAATATTAACTCATTGAACTTATTTTAATTTATGATAAGACTAAACAAAGGGAAAAAGCAACTTTACCGCTAATCCAAATTCCCTTTTAATTAGATTAACGAGTTATATGTATCCGCGAAAAATATATATTTTAAAATACTAACCTGAACACGGCCCTGTCATCTAGCGTGGGCCGTTCGCCAGGGAACAGACCTAATGAGAGTGCACCGTCTTCATCTCCATCTGTCGTATCTTCATTAGCCTCCGGTGTATTGCGGATACGCCCTAATATATAAAAAAATACAAATTTAGCTATGTAGCAGGCAAAATAGTTTTCAAATATTTTTTTTTTTTGTATTTTTATAATAAAGGCAGAAGAAAATTCGTATCCAATTTTGATCGTACGTTAAATATAAATATCCACCGAACGGTATTTATGAACGTGTAATTATCATACATCATGGACGATAGTGAATAAATTTGCTACTTCTAACCTGAAATATGATGAGACGTTCATGCGAAAATAAACTTTACATTGTTAGAATAAGGGTTAGCGTACTCTACTCACCAACAACTAATTCCCTGACATCAGTCCACTGTAAGTCGTGTGAGGGTTCGTGTAATATCGTAATACGAATACGACGTTGGATGCCTTGATGTAGAACGAACAAACCGCGACATGGAAGCTCGTCACTGTGTTCTACCACCTGATTGCAAACATTTTTCTTTTTAATAGTTTGTGAAGTGTTATCTGAAATAGCTCTAATTTGGTATAATGTATAAATAGTGGAAATCCACAAGTATAGTGGTAACTTGGGATGGCAAAAAGGAAGCACTTTAGTAACGAGTATTATTTCATTCAGGAACAACCCTTAGAGTCTTAAGTGTTTAGGTTTTTCTTAACCAACCAATTAACTATTAATAGTACGAATTAACGTGACACCTATTCTATTTGTCTTCGAAGGAAAATTCGGAAAATTTATAAATATTAAAATCGTTTATTCATATTCGTGAAGATTAAGTGTGCCAGAGGCAGTGAAATATCTTACTTCCTACATCATAAATCATAAATTATCAATAAATAAGTTACAATTATTAATAAGAAATTTCAATTTCGTAGAAATAGCAAAAGCTTTCAGCCCTGCGATTCTGTAAAAATCCGAACCCGAAATCGAATTCACTACAAAAGTGGTATCGGCTCAACCTGGAATTGGTAATAACGTTTAGCGGCATAAGTGAAGTGAGTTTCGAAATGAATAGAATATAATAGGAATAGAATATCTGATACACATATACTAAATGACGTGAATTCGGACACATGAGTGAATTCGAAATCGGATTTGAACAGAATCGCCCTGCAGGCCACATGTTAATTCGTACGAGTAGTAATTAATCTTCGAGTGCAGTAGAATAAAACCGATAAATTGTGTACTGACCGCGGGCACGTAGTCTCCGCTGGGCGCGAGCTCGCAAATCTCGAACCAGACCAGTAGGTCGTGCTTGGAGTGCAGGTGGCTGGAGCAGCAGGGCGGCGCCACGGAGGCGGCGCCCCACTTGGGGCTGCGCACCGGCGCCGAGATGGGAATCGACGGCGGCAACATGCGCCGGGGCGGCGTGCGACCGCCCACCACGCCGTCCTGCTTCGCGTCCTTAACACGGATAACATATTTAAACGCCGTTAGCACACAAACAATTAGCAAGAAACATTTGCGAAATCTTGTCAGTTGTATGGCAATGTTTCGCATGTGTTTTGTCTCGCTCTATTATAAGCTCGATGATAGGAACTTTTGTTTCCCAAAAGATGACAGCTCTGTTCGCATTCGCATAATAATGCGAAACAAAACGCAAACAATAACGCTAACGGCGTGAACGCGGGATTTCACTAAATAGGACATGTTGGACAAGTTTTATTTTAAAGTTATGCTGACAAAACCAAACTTGTTACCAACTGACATTTTGTCAAAACCGAAAGCATTATGAAAGAAAAAAAGAACAAAATAAAATAAGACAAAAATAAAATATACACCTAGATTAAATCTAGGTATTTAAAATGATTTCAAAATTACTTTTACCCTACATAAAAAAAACAGAGAACTTTTATATTGTATATTTTTTACCTTCAACTGTTTTTGTTTTCTCTTCTGTCACGGTCAATTTGCTTTAGTCATCATTTTATAATAAGATTTCAGAAGAGAATTAGCTTGGAAGTTGCCATTGCCACCACAGTAAAGCCTGCCCTAAATACACTTAACTTTATTGTAACTTACCTTATGTAGTGGGTGTTGTTGATAATGTCCGAACACTTCGAAAACGATCGGTTGTGTCTTGATATATTCCACGAACGACTTCGTCACTGGTACTGTTATCTGTGATTTAAACAATCGGTATTAGTTACAAAAAAGAATACTAATTTTGTAAAAATAATTTTTGATTATATATATACTCATATTGTAACATGATTTTGTCGTTATTTAAATATCATAAAGAGCGACAATGAATCCATGGATTGGAAAAATCCATGGATTCATTGTCGCTCTTTATTTTCTAACATTATTGCTTGTTTAGGAATAATAATGAACATGACTTACGTTTTGTACGTGGTAGAAACCAAGAGGTGTATTTTTCCCTGTGTTCTTGACAGGTTCTGTCGAGAATGCGTCCTCGTTACGGTGAAGGAAGCTGTAATAAAAATAAATCTTTAAAATGATTGCAGCTGAATTATACGAAAACGTATATTAATGATGGTAATTTGAAAGACTAATGATGACTCTCAAGCAGATGATAACTTTGTGCTGTAACATACAGGGGACATCTATAAATTACGTTACACGAATATCAAGATTTTAATCCCCCAACTGTTTATATTATATTTTCCTCGTATTAATTAAGTTTTAAATTTTACTTTCCTTTATCTTCATCGAAAACAAAAAAAAACAGAAATTAGGTAAGACGTTAGTTAGAAGTTATATCTTTAATATATATTTATTTATATAGATCGTCCTATGTCACACTTCATGCACCCCCCACAAGAACCAACGATTAATAGTCAGGCGATATTTGATCAGTACGATTTGGCGAAAACGACGTTTTAAAATGATAGCGACCAAACTATTCCACTCCACCAGCCCTTTTACGTCCCCACTGCTCACTGGGCTCAGGCCTTCCTTATGGATGGTTAAGGAGGACGGGCCATGACCCTCCACGCTGGCCCAATGCGGATTGGAGGGTAAACTATAGACCGACTTAAATCACTAACGCCGTTAGACACTTCTACGAAACGAAAGGGTTGTCACCTTTGAGAAAAAAAACGGATAGTCATCAGAAATCGGGATAGGTGGCAACCCTGAATGCGAAACATTTGCGTCTGTGTAGCGACATTTTTCGCAGATGACTGCGTAGCAGTATTGACAAGGATACAGCTATGTTACCGAGATAATAATAGAGCGAGACAAAGCACATGCGAAACACTGCCATACAACGGATAAGCAATCTTTCGCAAACGTTTCGCATTCACATGCGATTGCATCGGTGTGCTAAAGGCGTAATGCGTTCCGACTCTTACTTGAACTGGCAGAATACGTCCGCGTAGTCAGTGGCGACGGCGTGCGCCTGCAGCACGGTCACGCGGAACGTGAACTCTCGCCCGAGCGTCAAGTGCTCCGGCAGCTCCTCGTCCTTCAGCTCAGACGCGAGCGAGCTGTCACCGCGACCGCTGTCCGCGTCGCACTCGCCCACTGCCAACTCTGCATCACATTATATACGCTCATTTTAGGCGACGGTCGATGAGGGGTGTCGCGTTTGAATTTGCGTTAGTATATATGTATAATTATCATTCTTTCAGTCCCGGAAATGGGGGGGTGGCACTTGGTCTGGGCGCCACTGTTAAGGAGGCGCCAAAATCATCATCATATATTACCTGTATACAGTACAAATACGCTAAGATGGAATGCATGGGCATGCTTCAACATCTCTAAATGAAATAAAAGAAAAATATCATATATCTGACTTTACTGAGCGTATGGGAGGGAAGGGGAGTATAGAGCGACATACGAAGTTTGTTTCCTGGATGGATAAAATCGTACAATCGTAGATCGTTCTTCGTCGGCGATTTACGCGCATTTCAAATAAACAAATTTTGTGCATGTTTTTGTTTTGGTACTTAATATTCGTTAAAACGATTATGAATTACGGGTGAATAAATATTAGTGCTTTAAAAATAAAGCAGAGAAAAAGAAGTGCAAAACAAAGCGGGTTGAAATAACATCTAAGTAAGTTTGGTGTTTATTGGGATCGCGTCATCTGGTGACCAAAAAACGGTAGCCACATCATTTCAAGATATATATCTGAATCGCGAAATGTATTTGGAGATGTAATATATATGGAGATGTATTTAGAGGAGACGCAACGCATTGTTTGTTAGATATGCGCCGACCTTTAGACTCGTGTCTATTCATTACATCGACTAGAAATTACAAGGCAATGTAACTAGATTTTATCGTTTTGATATCGATATATGTATATCATATATTCTAAATGGTACCTTCAATCTTGATATTGGAGTCCTGTGTATCGACGATGCGGTCCTCCAAGTTGAGTGCGTTATTTTTGTCAACATTAGTGAGCGCCTTCATGCGTGTCCGAGTGGGCGCCACGTCGTCGTCGAATGATATCTTAGCGGATTGCTTCACGCCCGCTATGAACTCGGCGTTATCTATATATACAAATTAATATCGTTAAAATTAAGTAAATCCCTTCGAAAAAAGTATTTTAAAACAGTATCAGAATTACTTTTCCCCAAAAGGTGTTATATGTAAAGGATTAATTATATTCATTAATTTAAATTGTCCAAAACAATCAGTCGCGTGACATTTATAGCCGTGACGTTACATATCAATAAACATGAATACTGAATGCACTCGTTACAAAGCCGTTATCGTTTAGTTTATTGAAATGTGACGTCACAGATGCGTTTCGGTTCTTACTATCCGTAGCAAGTTAATTTTGCAAAAATGAAATACTAAATGGTTGTTATTTACATATAAGTTACATTTCCAACATACATCATAAATTGTACCCAATTTTGCGTTCCTTTGTGACGTTACGCCATTAGTAAACCGCCACTGCTTGCACTAGACTTCTAGTGACACTCGTGATCATGTAAATAACGAACATATTCTCTCGCAATGGAAATATTTAGTACATTTGTATGCAAAAGTAGTAACTAGATTATTAGTTTGTACTTACTTTTATCGGCATCGATGACTGCCTGCACGGCTACACGGAGGTAGCCCTTTACGTCTCCTTTCTCGTTCACGATAGCCACCTTGTGAATGAGTGGAACCGGGTACAACAGGTTCGAAAGGTATACGAAACTCCTGTAAAAGAAGGAATTATATTCTGGCATCTCAAGAAATGAAAATTTGGAATTTTAACAAATTTTCAATTTCTACATACAAATAATTATGTATTACCCAATAACGAAAATACTTTAATTACTTATATAGACTTCCGCAAGATAATTGATTATATAAAATCAAAGTCACATTTGTATGCACAGTTATCTCACTTCGCTCATTTACATTAGTCGATAGGATCCAATGCAGTGTGCTATTCGCTGTGCCTCATTTCTTCTGGTCGGTCATTAATTTTATTGTTGTTGTATAGACCTTTGAAAGGAGCTTACAGAAATCTCCGCACAGGAATATTTTTTTACATATATTTATCAAAAATTATAGAGTGTGTTGCATCGATCCTTCTCCACAATTAAAAGATGTCCTGAATGCCAGTACGATAAATAAAATAACAACTCAAAAATGGTCTTTAACTTTGATGTATAAGTTTGTCTCAAGAGCGAATCCCAAAGATTACTTGAATCATTCTGAATGGCTAGGATTTGTCATGCTACGTTATTTATTTAGATGTTTTGTAGAACATATACATCGGAGAGCCTTCTTATTTTTATTGTAACGTGTTGTTTACTTACCGTCCAACCAGACGGAACCACGGGAAGCGGTCATAGAACGGATCGCCGCCAGTGACGGACTCGATGTTGTGGTCGGGTGAAGTGGGCGAGAGCTCCGCCTCGTTGTGGTACATTTCACGCATCAGCTCCAAACGTTGTCTGTTGGAAACTTACACGATATACAACCTATTTTGGATTTTATCGCTTATTATTATATCGTTTAAAAACAAATTTCTATAGTGGATTTCTTTGTACAATAAGGTACAAAATTAATAAGTTAAATATTGATCTTCCATGCAAGATGACAGATCTAATATTTATTAAATCGTATAGTATAGGAAATTTATAGCTGTCACTTACACGATGCTATGTAATAGTGACATATTTTTTTCACATTCAAACATTATTTATTGAGTAGAAACAAGGTTCAGTTATATATTACAAAAAATGACGCTGCAAGCCATTATTCCTTACTCCAGTAAGGAATACATAGATTTAAGGATTGATAGCGATGAAAGAATATGATAGACGTGATTATTGCAAAAAGTTAGTATAGAATACGTAGGCAGGATGATAAATAGCTAGCCCAACCCATATTTTGTATAATAACAACATGATATAGCATTGGTTCATTAGCTGCCAGTGTTCCAAATTTCAAATCGATCGTATAGCTTTTCTTTTAAATATTGACATTTCAAAAAGCATTCTTTTGTTTTTTCTACAAAATGGATAAAATTGAGCTACGAGCTGTGATAAAGTTTTTGCATTTAAAAGGATTAAAAGGTGGAGAGATTTATTCGGAGATGAAGGATGTTTTGGGAGATATGCAACCATAAAAAATTGGGTGGCCGAATTTAAACGTGGTCGTACCAGCACCCAAGATGAACATCGTCCAGGACGTCCAAAAAGTTCCACTACTCTAGAAATTGTGATCAAAATTCATGATGCAGTTTTAGCTGACCGAAGATTGAAACTTTCCGAGATAGCTGATACTGTAGGCATCTCTAAAGAACGGGCGCATTACATTTTGACTCAAGAATTATGTATGAAAAAATTATCCGCAAGGGTGCCGCGATTGCTGACAGTTGACCAAAAACTTTCAAATTTCAAACAAATGCAAATTTGACAAGAATGTTTGGACCGCTTTAAGAGCAATACAACTGATTTTCTGCGACGGTTTGTTACTACAATTCAGTCTAAGCAATGGACGGAAAAAAGATCTCCGGCTCCAAAGAAAGCAAAAGCCATGAAATCAGCGGAGAAAGTCATGACGTCAGTATTTTGAGATTCGAAGGGTATATTGATGATTGATTACCTTCCAAAAGAACAAAACATAAATGGCGAATATTATGCTGATCTACTGGATAAATTACAAGTGTGTATTCGTGAAAAAAGACCCGGCCTGGCTAAAAAAAAATATCTTTCATCAGGATAATGCGCGCGTTCACACGCGCGTCACTGCTATGGCGAAATTCAAAGAATGAAATTATGATTTGCTACCACACCCAGCTTATTCTTCTGATCTGGCACCATCTGACTTTTATCTATTGCCTAAGCTCAAAAAATTTTTAGGTGGACAAAGATTTGAAAATAATAGCGAGGTGATGTCTGCCGTTGACAGTTATTTTGAAAGGCTTGAAGAAAACCACTTCAGGGATGGCATCAAGGCTTTAGAGCATAGATGGATGAAGTGCATAGCGCTTCAAGGAGATTATGTCGAAAAATAAATATACTTTTAACACACTAATTCAAGTTTTTCTATGCTAGGCTAGCTATTTATCATCCCGCCCTCGTAGCTGAAATAAGCAAGCTTGAAAGACAACACTGGTAATATCTTTAAGCAAATTAAAGTTTACAAAAGTAGACTTATAACATTGTTATTTATTTATAAGATTACTTACAGCACACCTGGATTATTATAAAACAACTGCAATCGATTTTGATCTATAAATTGACTGTACAAATCAGCTTCAATTACACGTAATATAACAAAATGTAATATATAATTTTGGTATAAATATTTAATGAATGATACATTTCATGAAAGCGGTTAAGTGTATGAGTAAAGTTTATAGGAATCGATTAAGAATACATACATACAATTAAAAAAATACATAACGGCGTGATTACATTTCATCACTAGGTGATCCAAAATCGAATGACAATCAGCATTTCGGGTCTATTACACACACATCTCAATGGCATAAAACCGAATTCTTAGTAGTTTGAAGGTAGTAGCAAGGAAGGCTGAACAAACAATAACAACGAACGAACAATAGTCCACAAACTAACTGTAGCATAATGAAAGAGAATCACATGAAAACGAAGAATAGAAGAAAAACAAAATGTTAATTAATAATTTTACATTAGGTAACAGTGATTAATTTAGCAGACGTAGAAATCTTTCATCTCGCTTTCAATAAATTCGCTCCCATAATGCTAAAAGTTATAGTACAGCCGTTCGTTTACATTTAGTTGTTTGTCCAATATATTATAGGGTTGGTCGTGGGCCAAATATAAATCGAATAGGGATGTCGACTGGGTAAAAAAAAAGGGATTCTATCTAGTCCGTCAGTCAGATAATAGAAAATATTAGATACTTTTTTTTGCTTCAATACAAACAATACAAATTGAAGAGTCGCCACTCTTCAATTTGTATTACGCTCGCTACATCAGTTTTGTACAAAAGCGTGACGTCGTGCGACATCTCAACTCATTGTATCGGCGTAATTTATTGATTACGAAAAAAAAACGTATTTAATTTTCTTCATTAATCAACCTGACGAACAAACAAACAGAAAATAGCCATGTCATCATCCCTATTTGGTTCACGACGGACCAAGGGTAATTCTGCATTTAGTTATATTTTAACACATATACTACATACAAAGGATAACAGCTACACGACATAGTTTCCAATCGTAAATTGTGTAGGTACATTTCAAACTATAGTGGAGAATACAACACCAATATGGCTACTTACAATAACCGTAACATGTATAGCAAATTATGTTCTACTAGTAAAAACATAAACATCAAAATGCTTCAATTACACATAAAAATTATGAATCAATGAACTACTAGTAACAATGATCAAATAACGTAATCTACGATCATGCGACTTATCACTTACAGTATCTTGACAAATAACGACGTAAATTAGAACTTAGATTTTATAGATGTCGCTTCTTTTTAAAGATGCCTACTACAAATTCCCATAAACATAAACAAAATATGGCCTTGTATTTGCCATATGAGCTTTAGAATATAAAGAGGAATATCTCATTAGTAATGAAAATTGAAAAACTTTAAAATAGTCAAATTATTAAAGTGCTTCTGCTCATTACACTGCTTCTTAAAAAACGAGTTTAAAGCGACTTGAGAATATTGAAAGCAGCCAATTATTATCTTCTCCAGTGCTGTGAAGTACATCAATGTCTATGACGTCACGAAACTGCTTAACTACTGAATAAAAAGCAGCAGAACACATCAACAGCCACAGCTTTGTCCAACGATGATTGACACGCGCTAAATAAACCATATTTTTATCACAATAAGTGAATTATCTTTCTAAGGAAGCGTGGCGAAATTGCGGAGGTTAGGCTCAATAAATAAGCGAAGTTAAAACATCGATAGCGCCTCATTCCGTCCATTTCCAACGCCAATTGATAGACGAGCATAGATGAGTGCGTCATGTCGTGGCGAAACGTCACAAGTCTGTCATGAGTTAAATACTATGACTACTCGATTACGTAAACGACCGTACGGGGCGCGGAAACTACAGATGTCGTTACTATTACCGGAATTCATACCGTATGCGGGAACAGGACGCGGAAGCACAATCAAGAACTCAGATGCTTCGATAGTAAAAATATTAATTAAACGGCACATCCTGATCCGTAACGGTAGCGTTGTCAATTCCTGTCATACAAAAGCCCCATACCACTCGGAGCTACTCATAGGAAACTAGTTACATCTCTAAAATTACAAAACGAATCGCTTCACTGCCCGTACATACTACTAAATATAACGCCCGAAAGTAACGTGCCGGTCTCCGTGCATCTGGTTACTTGTTTCCCCTAAATCTTGTACGGTACATATCGTACGGTGCTTTAGCAAGCAGAAATTACTGTAACCTTGCAAGTTGCATAGCGTCGTGTCTATGTGTACAGTCTCTTAAAAGAACATTTGAGCAGCGCCGTGTGAGAAGGGCTTAATGCTGGAGATAAATAAGTAATAATGACGACAGCTGTTCATCATCGTGTGCTAACCCTACGAGCAAGCGAGGCGACAAACCTCGAGGGCAGCAGGTTGGCTAGCGACAATCGCGTTTGTTGCGCGGCTGCGGAGATACACTGCAGTATGTCCGGTGTGCCGGCCGCGGGTGGCAGTGCCGGCGGCAGTGCCGGCTCGTCCTCCTCACAGTACGCGCTCTCGTTCATGTTGTATATCTGACGCATAAGCTCCAGACGGTGGCTACGGACAATATACGCATGTAGCCTGCCGCCGTCGCCCCCGAGAACACGCTATGCGAAGACATGCTATTCTACACGACGCCTCATTATTTTTATTAACACGATTCCATTTTACACTAATGAAAAAACAGTACAAAGTTACTAAACTAAAATTCTAAGTACCTATATAGATATTCACGCATGTCCTCTCATTTGGTCCCCTTTACGAGCAAACGACGAGAACACACTAATTCAAATTGTATTGACTGTATTTACTATGTGATGCAAATATGTATGACGAAACAAAATTAATAAACGACAGATACACTTCCGCGCGTTTTAATAATTCCTACATGTTCTTATCATTTGCTTTACTAATTTAATATTAATCTATTATACATAATTATATAAAGAGCATGTTAACAAATGGACAAATTAAGTAATAAAAAGCGGCAAACTAAAACAAGCAATATTTGAGATCGGAACATTGCCAACTATACATTTAAATATCATACCGGAAAATATACTTACCCTGAGATATATATTATAAGGACGTTTCTACACTCTATCGCGTATATATAATAGTTATATATAATATAGGTAATATTTATTTATAGAGGTCATTCGACACGACCGGCGGAGCAAAAACAATAAGTGTTTATTTTTTTTATATTTTTAACACAAAGTTTAAAATGAAAAATCTCATAAAACAAATAAAAGACAACATAATGCAACTAAAATTAATATATAACAATACGACGTCGCGAAAACATAAATGGGAAGAAAAGAAAAATAAAACGAAATAAACAACAAGATAATCTTTTGCAGAAAGATACCAAGGGAAGATAAATAGGAAAGAAATTACATCACATAATAATATTATACATTTATCCGTAACACTCGTTAATCGTGTATTAATTAAAGTAGTTATTATCGTTCAAAACTTTCTTTGGTTTTTAATATCAATATAAGCCCCTTCGACCTGAGGGTCCTATATCATTGACACGCCCTTGGCTGTGTCAGTCTAATAGGTCCTGTAAAGGCGGTACTCACCGAAGTTTCTCGAGAGTCCAGTAATGCGTGGCGCCGTTCTTGGTATCTGTGACTTCTACGGCGACCACAGTGGGCGCGCTCGGCCTGTATTCGTCGTCGGCGTCGTCCCGCGGGGCGAGTTCGGCCGGCAGGGGCGAATACGGAGTGTCCGTTAACAGAGTGAATTGGAATTGGACCTTCTTGCGCAGTTCTACGGAGATCGCGTTTGCTTCCTGTTGGGGGGGATGAGTTTGGAGACATTTGTAAGTCTCTAAGTAAATAACAGTAAAAATGTTATTTTTATGAAAAATTAAAAAAAAATCTTACTTCGTCTAATTGAGATTTTAAACGTACTTATTAGAAATTTTATTTATTTTCACTCGATAGAATCTATAAGTGAAATGTCTATACATAACCAACTCAACTAAACCAGCTTGAGTAGCTCGGTGGCGTAGTAGATAAGCGCCGCGGTCAGCGATCGTTCTTGTTAAGCAACTTTCGCAAGGGTCGGTCACCGGATGGGAGATCAAAATTCTATTGTCTCGAGCTACTCCATGCTTCAAAAGGCACATTAAGCCGTTGATCCCGGCTGCATGCAAGTCGTTAATACCCCCCCCCCCATTCGCATTGAATCCCCCTTAACGGTCCATAAGGAAATCCCGAGTCCCTGCAGTAGGGACGCAAAATGGCTGATGATGATGAACCAACTCAATACACGTTTTTATAAATTAATTTTCCATTAAAATTTTCTTAACCAATTATTCTTATTCCTTCAATAAGAATCTTCGCTAAAAATCTTTTATTAAAAAATAAAAAAAAGATTTTAAAATGATCTAAACATATAGTTACTTTGAGGAATATAGCGTTCCCCCACAGGTCGTCCCTGAGCGATGTGAACTGATGATACTTCCACTTGCGGAACGCCCACGCGGCCAGACCGAGCTCGCGCGCGGACCAACACTCTGTCTCAAACAGAGGATTCACTACAACAACCAGATCACAATCACCGTGGGGCACAATATGTTCTTACTTACTAAGTACAAATAAAGTGGCCTTATTCACGAACCTATTTTCAAGAGTTATCATGTTGTACACTGACGGTCCCGGTTTCTGAATTCAGTAAAGTAAAAAGTCTGAACTGATTATTTTCAATAATTAAGTTATTGAAAATAACCAGTTGAAAGATTTTGTACTTTTTAATTGTCACAAGGCAAAAGGACCTTATTTTATCAAACTAATCATTAAAAAAAAAATCAGAAACGAAAACTTATTTAAGAAACGTTTAAGTACAATTTGAGACGTGGTAACTTTAAATACTCAATTATTATATTTGATCAATTTTGCATTCACAATGCTATACTGTTAAAAATCCACGAACTCTGTACCAAGGACAATGCGGACTTTTTAAACATAGAGTAAGAGACGAAACACAGATAAATATCTAATAAACCAACTTTTCGATGTGTTTAAGTTTATTTTATGTACATACGTTTGACAGTTTCATAGCTCTATGGTTTTACATTTATTAAAGGCCGATTGTTAATTTAGCTGTTACACAACTCAGTGTATTATTTAAGTTTAAAAGAAAAGAGTATTGTCATTAAGGTTTCAATAAAATTAACTATAAAAACGCTTTATATTATTTCCGATTAATCTGAATTTTACTCAAAGCAAAGATAAGTAAACAGTTACAGTGAAAAGGAAAAGATTATGAGATAATTTATGATGAAAATAATCATTCTAGTAATAGAGGAAGTTGGTAGAAATGCACAAATATAGATCATTAGATCCCGCCTATAAAATCTTGTTCTCACCGAATATGTCCTCGTCGTTATGGAAGTCCTCGGGTGTGTAAGAGGAGTACATGGACATGGTGACGCTTTGCTCCTCCACTTGACGCTGCAATGCATCAATGCGGGCCTCGTAGTTCTGTGAACAAAGTAATGAATTATATATGCTATACTATATTGAAACATATTAGTTTATCTTTTTATTTTATATGACAAAACATCCAATCCAATTTTTGTAAAAAAATAACAGTTTACTTTCATCAAATCGACTGTCCTAAAATAAAACACTGAAAACGCCAATCGAAAATTTTACACTTAGTCAATTTTAATAGCACATTTGAAGTTCGTTTTCATAGGAAACTCAATTGTTTTTAATTCAATTGTCTTCCCTATTTTAAGTATATTATTTGAAGAGGACTTTCATTCATGTACAGTCATACATAGCACACAACGTCAAAAACTGGATTAGGTAGTATTTTTATATAATTGGCATATACGCAGTTTTATTTTAGAACATCCAAAATGTACTAATTGATTTATAAATTTATCTGCGTTTGTGATTTAATCATTGAATGATTTCCAATTTAATCCGAAATCTTAAGGATGAAGAGTAACATAGAACAGAATACTCAAATCATTAATCATGTCGTATACAGAGTATTTAAAGCACCTTTCTCTGTTCCTCAAACTGTTGGTCAGCGTGCTCTTTCTCCCGACGGAACTGCTCTTCTAGTGCGAGTAGTCGCTTCTGCATTTCCGCCTTTAGATCGATCCCCTGTTTTTCCAATAACTCGCATTGTGCATAATCCCAGTCCACATTTTCCGTGTCACTAGGAACTACGGAAAAAATAGTTATATATTTAATTTAGTTTCTCAGTTAGTAATACCTACAATATTTTGCTATAATTCGATAACTTTGCTAAAAGTGTTGAAATAATTCTATCAAGACGGAACTTAAACAGGCTAACTCAAGACGATTATAAAAGCTATAATCACCAAGTTTATTATTTTGTCGTTATATTGGAGTACACATAGATTACTTACTTGCAGCTAAATTTATGCGATTCAAAAGATTCTCAATAAGTTAACTCAATCCAAGAATAATATCAAACAGTATAATTTAAAAATATTTACCATCTGCTGAGGCAGCGGTATCCTGTGGCTCCTCCTTATTGCTGACGCGTTCCTCGCGCGGCTGTCCGGGATGCGTGAAACGGAACACGTGGTTCTTGCCAAGAATCACACGCGAACCAGTTTTCAGAATTATCGGCTCTGTCACCTTGACAATACAAACGTAAGTAGGTCAGCAATTTAAAGAAAATGCATGGAATGAGGTAACAAAGAACCAGTCGTGTCACAATTTTATAGTTTTGTATAACCTGACGTGATATTGTTTTTACATAAACGACGTAATCATCACCAGCCATTAATGTCCCCACTGCTGGGGCTCGGGCCTTCCCTACGGATGCGATGGAAACGAATCGAATAGGGAGAACGGACCATGAACCACCACGCGGGCGCAGACCAGTGGGCGGCTTGGTGGGTATTAACGACTGCAGACCAAGGGCTTAAAGTGTCTTCTGAAGCACGGAGGAGTTCGAGATAATAAATTTTTGGTCACCCATCCTATGACCGGCCATTGCGAAAATTGTTTACCAACCGTATCACAAACCGAGCGAGCTAACCACTCCGCCATAGAGCTCCGCAAACGACGTAATGCATATACATATTCGTAGTTTATCTACACTCAACTGCGCATGCGTGAGCCTTTTTTTTCATATTCAGCCTAAAACCATAGACTACTTTAAATAATAAAAAAAGATAGCGGTACTATAATGAGTTTTATGATACAGTTGGCGGTACTCTAATGAGTTTTATTCTTAATTTTATGTATTTGTGTTTATAAAGTGCGTAATGTATAGAATCGTCTTTGAATTCGTAATTAGAATTTTTCGATTTGAGTGTAGATAAAATTAAAAATGTGATTGCATGACAAATGATTTTATGTTAAAGACGGTTACCTCTCTTCCGTTCACGTATACAAGCGCAGCACGGTGTGGTACCAGACAGATTACACCATCAGTGTTCTCGAAGATGCAGTGCTCACTGAGAATGTGAGAGCCAGAGAGCTGAATATCTTGTGGCACAGATGCTTCGGCGGTGCCAAGACGGGTCACACCTGTAGAATCAAACAAATATTTGAAAAAATGCACAAATATAGTTGTAAATCACAGACATTAAATGAATTTATTTTCGAAAGCATATTCACTTCCGAGGAGCGCATCAAAAGGCAGAGCAGCTTTATTGAAAATATAATTATAAAACAATTTTAGAGTTATTTTTCTAAAAAAAATAATATTTACACGTTTCGATACGACGCGTAACAAAGTTAAATCACGTTCAAGAATAACAGAAAATAAACCATAAAATATCATAATTTTAAACTTTTATTTGTTAACTTTAATTTGTGGATGTAAAATCAAAAAAAGGTCGAATATATTTTGAAACACTCACCGTCTTTGATATAATATATAAGACATTCGGACAAATTAGGATCTTCGTTGAGGTTCACCAAGTGAGGAGTCTTCTTAGGCGAGTATACGCCCACAGTGATCCCTTCCTTTACAGCCACACCCATCTCAGCAAACACCGCCTCACGCTGCAAACGGATCTCTTCTGTGCGCTTGAGTTTCTCTTCCCAGGTCTCATTGAGTTCTGTTATAAATAAAAATTGATACTTCTTAACGATAAATAGATATCGTTGTATAGTATTTCATAAAATAATCTAAAAACATTCCATTGCGAAAGGAAAATACAATTTCATATTTCTATTTATTTCAAAACGATAATGATCATGATTAAATATGTGGTAATACAGATAACAATATTTATTTACAATATCAATTAACTGTGTAGAAAAGAATAAAAAGTTTTAAAATACAGAAGGCAGCAGCCTAATACCCGTTTTCACTAAACCTATACTCCGTTCATTATAACATTAGAAAAAAGAGGATCATAGAAGCAGCAGTGCAGAACATTTTATTTTGAAGATAAATTTAAAAAATAAATATTATAGTTTTGTTGAAACTTTGAACGTTTTTGTAGTCTGAAAGAACTAGGCAATTTTCCATTTTTTATGATACCTCGGGGCTGAGATGAGGCCAGCATTTTAAGTAAGTTGATATAAATAGAATAGAATTTAGTCTATGCCCAGGAAAAAAAGGTAAACAAAAGGATTTTTTTATTATTACCTTTATAAAATTTCTCAGATATTAAACTATTGATGAAGAAATTGGAAAAACTTCCTGAAATGTCAAAGGTTGAGAGTAGGTATGGGGACTTCAAGCGTCATTGTTGTAGTCCACTCGGGCCTGCACCGGCATCGTCCATATTTAACAAAACTTAACTTGACAACAAAAACAAAACTATAATCAAAACAGAAATAAAACAATAACAACTTAATAACGGAAAACGGCAAAACAACAAGAAAGAAAAAAATCCGCGATTACGTATTTTGACAATTATGAATACATCATAGTCTGTCAAAATTAAAAAGTTGTACTGCCGAAACGTTTGAAGGGATTAGGCAACGTTTTAAATTTGGTAGAATTATAGTGACATGAGAATCGTACCGAAACTATCCAACCCTGCTTCTTTAGGTTCTTTATGATGAACACTTTTTATTGTAAATATTATTAAACCATTTAAGTTAGTCAAATACTCATAAATTTGTTTAATAGATAGCTTAAGTGACAACAGTTAAGTATAGCAGCTGGTATTTTAGTGGATATGTAGCAAATTAGACGTCACTCTTAAGAGTAACATGATTATTGATATTTTGTCACAAAGGATACCATAAAAAGAACCTTATTTAACTTCTGTCTAATGCTATAATGCATGGAGTACAGGAGTCGACCAAATCTGACACCTAAATATTTGTATGTTGTCGAAGGTGAAAATTAGTTTCACCAATGACAAGGAGCTACCTAATGACCTTAAGCAACTCTTAAAGTTAGGACATGCATTGTGCGGCGCCTAGCGCTGGGCATTTACGTAATGTTATATATACATTTACTTTTTGGCCATAACGGATGTCTCAAGGGATAAAATGAATTAACTAAATTGAAATCGAGGGGTTTATATATTAGAGTTAAAATATAAAAAAATATATTTTTTGAATTTTCGGAGATTTTTTACATGGATATTGACGACTTGTGTGCTCGTATAAATACAAGACCACGTATATTTTTTCTTTTTTTTACCTCAAAATATATATTTCTGTTATTATCTCTATACGTCTAAAGGCCACTAACGTAAAGTAGAATTCAGTTCTAAATGCGAAATTATTCATAAACGTTGCCTATCTAAGCAAGTGCTTAGTAAGGCATAACCTAATATTACATTCTTAATATAATGTGATTTCTAGTTAAGCTATGCCTTGCTCTCGTTTTGTGAAAACGGATATTAGGCATAGGCTCCTAAAAGAAAAAACAAAAAACTCGATTATGAGATAACGTTTTCAGTCGTATTGTTATTTCTTCTATATCGAAGTAAGAGTATTTTATGTCAATATTTTTTCTATTCGTATTTAGTTCTTAAAAACTTAAGGTAATATTATTAATGTCATGTTTTGTATTAAGCAAATTATCTGACCTGCAATAAGTTTTTCGGAAGCCTGCAACTGATCGACTGCCTCCTCGGCGATGGTGGTGGCGGCGCGTGACAGCTTCGGAGATAGTACTTCAGCCTCATTCTTCTTGCAAGCCGGAGATTCTTCGCCTGCTACATTACATACACATTTATTATTAACTACGTATTTTAACATTGCTACTGCAGATATATACCATAAATGCTACTTCGTTGATAATAAATAACAGTAAATAACAGTTTTTTAAAGATTTGACACCGCAATATTGAGCATTAATTAATTTCCAATTTGATCAAAGCTCAGATCATAGAAAGTAACAAATATAAAGACTTTATTATTTTCATTCTTTCATTTAGTAGTTTAGTTTAATTTGCAACAATTATGCGGGTAATTATAACTTGCTTTTGTAATACGCGTTAGTAAAGTGAAATTATAGCCTTCAACATCAGGTACCATTTTTTATGCCAGACGAAGTTGTGACCAAAGTGACGATATACGAGAATATATAGTTTTGTTGTTAAGTAGGGACACTTCAATTTGTTATGTTAGTCTTATCACCAATAAGATAGGTAACTTTATGTACGACGATATTTCAAATATCGCGTTCACATTTTTATTAATTAATAAACAGTTACATCTTCATTATTGTTAAAGAAAACCTTTATTTTCCTATTTAATCAGACCCAGGTTATAATGATGTTCTAATCTAACATCTCCCACTAATACTAAGTATATTTTTTCGCATTCGCTAAGTATTCGATAAATAATTTTAAATTGGAGATATCGATTATTTTGCAGTAATCACACGATATAGTATATAATCTTTCTATGATCTTGCATTATTTTTTATTATTATGTTTTATTTAGTACCTTATAAAGAGGTTTTATTCCATAAACGTATAAGTGAAAAGTGTCATGCTGAGGACATATACGAGTGCTTATCGTGTGATGCACATGGAATGTGTGATGCACAGGTTATAAGTCCGTAAGGCTTTATTATATATTCTTTAATATCATATTTGATTGGCATGATATAAGTAGACAATTATCTTATTTTCGTTACATATTTACTTATAATATTAATAGATATTTTGATAATATTTATGTATAGTTGAAAAATTAATAAAAGATAAAAATACATTTAGAATAAGAAAGTTGACATAAAGAAAACATGCAAAGGCTTCCAAAGCTATAAAGCTTAGTTATAGCATAAATAATATATGTCGATTGCCATTCGCGACCTTCATTGGATAATAATAAAGTTTAATTTCTCGCAAATTGTACACTATGGAAACATTATACACTATTCAAACACTATATTGGGGCGATTAAGAACCCATTCTTATTATTTTTATTACGAAAAAGTTAATGTATTTTTTGAAATATATTAAAAAAACGATTTTTAAGAAAAGAATGGATTCCATTCTATACTGTGTACAAAGCCGTCACCGTGTTGCATCCACCAACCTACTATCTTAGCTAAATTATACCTTACATATACAAATAAATGTTGTAGAAATACGAAATACAATAATCCTAATTATATATAGTGAACCAACACCAACATAATACACAAAAGCGCAGATAAAAATATGTATGAAATGCATAATCCACTTCGATCTGCATTTTTTTTGTTTGTGAAGTGAATACGACATACTAAATGCCTACGAACGCCACAAGCCGGACAAAGGTGCAAAATAAATTGCATATATATATATATACTTTTTCGATTTATGTGTCGGGTTGCCAGATTATAAATTAGGCCGGATCTTTGTTAACTTATTTGTATATTTTTTGTTCTGGCAACCTCGAACCAAAGGAGGCTAAGCGTACAGGTGGGGTGTACAGATGCATAAAATGCGTAAGCCTCATTACTTTTCTTTGTTACTTACAGATAGGCGGATCTTTCTTTTCGTAAACGACTCGACCATCTGGTCCTAGTTCGAGTGGATATTGAAAACAAAAGTTGAACTTTAGTATCAGAAATTTACATACGTTGTGGCGTTTCATCTAGCATCTGTTTTTACAATGCACAGACTCGCACACTATCAACCACATGACTACTACACACTATCTTAGCAACAGCACATATTTACACGTCGAAGTCGATTGATGAAATTTTCAAAACGATCCTAATGTACAATTTCATTACATTCTAATAGTAATAAGTTTGTACAGCCATAACATTCTCTCGCCATCTCTTACCAAGGCCCCTTCAAAAATAACGATCCATGCGAAATATAATTACAGCAATAATCTAAGAACACATTATATTTTGTCTTCAACGTTGTTAATACTTATCAAAGGGTTTACTTTTACAGCGCAACGTTTCTCTCTTTACGTCGTAGCAGCAGCAGTAAATGAAAACACCATGTCATCGATCGACCTTCGGCACAGTAGAAGCGTGGTAATCCCGTTGCTATACCAACCTTCTTCCACTTCGATGCCTTCTGCCTTGAGCAGCTCCCGTAATTTGAATATCTCTTCTTTGAGCTCGCGAATAAGCTTAGCGTTCGCATCTTCGTTGACAACAGCCTTGCATACGATCTGCTTGGCTCGGTCAGCATATCTGTGAAGGGGTTGTTACTGTGAAACGACTATCGTAAATCAGAGATCATAGGTATATCCATACTATGACAACATAAACCAAAGTAGCAAAGCTCTTCGTTATTGCCAATGGATTACTATAGCCATTGGCAATAACGCATGTTAGATTTTGTATTATGATTAGCGCGTTTGGTCTGCGACGTGGGTTAAGTATTTTTGCAGAGATCGAAAGAGACCAAAATTGTGTGATTTCGAACTTATTTGTGCATCACAAGGCATGTTATGTTGTTCATACTGGCACTAACCCGCACTCATATCTATTTCAATGGTGAAGGACCAGCAGTGGGAACATTATCAAGATAAAAACAATATGAATGATGTTTTAATTTCACCTCAATGTGCTGAGCGTTTCGTCGAAGTTAATATCGGCGGGCGATATGGCAGCTATCATGGCCGTCTTTGAGTTACCGCCGAGATTCTCGCGCAGCAGCCACGTCAGCACTGAGTCACGGTACGGAATGAAATCCGCTTTCTTAGACTTCTTGCTCTTTGATGCCTACAAACATTATACTTAGTTTAACCCACAGATATTAAAAACATTTTGTGATTAAAGCGTATGCAGAAGTTTTTGTTTAACTACTATGACGATGGCGTGTGTATTATAAAGAAAAAGGTGAACAAGAATGATTTATGGATAAGAAGGTAGTATATGATAGAAAAGTATAGTAAAAGTACATATAGAAAGTAACACCAAAGGTACATATAATAAAATAATTATATCTTTATTTCATATTACATTGGTTTTCTTATAGGTACATGTTTCTTAGGTATTCTTAATTAAGAAATATTAGCAGGTACATTGACCTTCTAGAAAAGTAGGTTAACAACCTGTATCAGTCCTGTAGAAGACACAGTAAATTCCCGTTTTCAATAATTAAAAATATATTATACCTATATGCATGTACGTAAAATATGCATCGGATGTGACCAAAAACTATAATGATTTTTATTGGGTAGTTGTGTTTTTTGTATTGTGTTACGGTGGTTTTATATATATCACATACATAAACTTATCTCAGTTTTGACAACAAAGCCCTTAAACACGATATTATTATGGCATAGTGAAATAATAAACTTCGACAGCACTTACCGACTGTACATATCCAAAAGAAAGAAATGCAATGAAAATAGTTGAGAAAAATATGAGTCATCTACATGAGAACTAGCTTTACAATATAAACAATTATAACAGTAATATTAATTATATAAAAACAAAATTATTGTATGGTATAATGGGCTGTGCTTACTTATTATAATGCAAAGTGCAACGACGTATAAATAACGATTCAAGGAAAACATGATATTAGTGAATCATTTGCATCACATTGAAATTATTCTTCAAGAACTTCTTAGCTATGTGTATATCCTAGAAATATCGATTTTTTATATTGATGCTATCATGAGAAGTTCAGAAATGACGATACCATACAAGCCAGTGGACACTGAAAATTTTTGAGTAATTTACACAAATCAACATTTATCAAAACATCATAAACGTAACCCGCGTCCTATAATCTAATCACAAAAATATTATTATGAGTTTTGAATTAAAATACCAAAATTAATTATAGCGCTACATACAATATTATAAAAACATGAACTCACGATTTCCGCAAGCGCTGAAATAACTTTTCCGAGTGTTGTGAGTGATTTGTTAATGTTAGCTCCTTCCTTCAGACGAGTGCCCTTAGCACCAGTGGAGTCAGCTCGCTCCGACCCAGCGAGATCCACGAGGGATATTTTGGACACCTGACAACAACATAAAACACAATTAGCACCAACGAGAAGCTCTGAAAATAAATTATGATCATGAAAGTTAGTGCATAATCGCCAATTCATGATCCAATTAGCTCGCAATACCAAAGGATTTTATTTATTATAAAATGAAGACTAACTCTAGTACCAGGTTAAAACCACTTTCCGATTAAAATAAGTCACGTATGACACAAGAGGAAACGTCAAATTGAGACGTGTTGACTTATTAAGAATATTAAGTCCTCGATTTTAGGGTTCCGTGCCCAAAGGGTAAAACGGTAGCCCTATTACCAAGACTTCGCTGTCTCTCTATCTCTCCGTCTGTCACCAGGCTGTATTTTTTGTACTATATTATGTGATTTTTTTGCTCGTTTCCAGTACCGAACCCTTCGTGCACGAGTCCGACACGCACTTGGTCGGTTTTTTAATATGCTGGTTAAAGTCGAGGCCAATCTGACAGAAGATCCGTCGAGCATCTCACGGTAGTACTTTAATATGCGACAGACTATCCGTCCAATATGCAATTGAATATCATAATTCATATATTAGTCAGTTCTGACGTTCCACGACGCATATTCCGACTGATACGTACCATGTCAGCTATATCTTAATTGATGTATCTTAAATTAAGCTAAAGTCTAAAATATAATACGAAATGTATTTCTAAATATATGTTTGCGTTTAAAATATTACGCAACCGGTCCCAATGGTGTAACATTGTATGTTTAAATATTTAATGTAATATAAAGTAACAAGGTAATATGAACGTAAGCGTCGTAACTTTACGATTGCTCCACAACCCTCGAGGGACCCTGGCGGGATATGAACACGTTTCTAACGACAACCCTCGCTAAAAAAGGCATACCGCTTCTTCTGTTACAAATTGCACAGAAAAGAGACAAATCTTTACTTATTGACCAAATACTATCTAATCATCACCATTAAAAGTTCTTAAAAAAGTGCTAAGTGTATAAATGTCTACTAGTCTTTCCTCTTGAGTGGGCCGTCAAGGATCTGAATGACATAAGACTACATCAACTGGTACCGTCAACAAAGAAAAAAATATTATATATTGATCGGCTTTACTTTCCTTCAGTAAAAGATGAATTGGGATATGTTTTACGTAAAGATTATCATACTAACAAAAAGAATTTATAACATCTACCGGCACTGACCTACGTAAGCAATGGCATTGCTAGCGGTACTCATAGTTTGCCTGAACGTGCGGTATAATAAAAAACGAAGGGTGGGAGCGGACAATTCCATACTAACTGCTGGAAAAAATAAGTTTCCTATGTAATTCGTTAAAACTTGCGTCATCCGATGAACTCTATTTATAGAAATTCAATTAATTTATTATTAGAAACGCTCTACAAGTGTCCTAGCAATCAAACTGAATCCAATGCAACAATAACAAGTTATCTACCACAAAATGATACAATGAATTGTGGACCTAACTTTTAATATTATAAGGTTTGAAAAAAATAAAAGGAATTTTAAAATTTTTCCATATAATTCGTGTTGAAGCTAACTGTAAACTTTTTGACCAGATATGGTGCGAAATACCAATAACTTGCATAAATGTGTAATTGTGTATACACCATTGAAATCATCGATATGTCCACATACCTATATTATTGGTTAATAATGTGTTTAATATAATAACACCAGAAGTAACGCATTAATTACAGTTATTATATTACAAATAGCTGTTTTGCATCATCTTTATTCGTACATCATACATCTTTATTCGCGTAAATTATATGTAGCCTATAACAAGTATGAAGTTACTTTCCGCAGATGAAAGAATTTTTAAAATCAGTACACTACTTTCGGAGCCTATTCGATGCAAACGAACAAACAATAATATCTTTCCTCTTTATAGTTTTAGTAAAGACATAATTTTCCCCTTAATAAAGATTTAAGTAGCTATATGAAGCATAGTCCTCTCTTTTATTTTTTTTCATACGTGGTCTCACCTTTTCAGAATTGAGGTCTGTAGTCTTGTCATGGCGTTGCTGTGTGAAGAATATCGTGAATACGGCGTGCGAACGAGATGATGTCTCGTTCATGTTCGTAGCCGCTACTGTCCTGTTAAAATTAAAATAGAATAACGGTTTAAAGAAACTGATACTTTATCCTATTAGTGTCTCCGTTTGAAATCACAAAGAAGGTTACAACCATACATATTATTATGCAATAATTAGTTTGATAGTTGAAGCAACTTTACTATAGGTACTTAATAATTGAGATACAATGTATAGGTTGTACCATTGAGATTGATTACACAATCTTATCTGAGATTAATAATTACGTATCTTTTTTAAGTTACAGTTATCGTCATTCTATAGTAAGCTATATGACACTCTACATTAAGTTGCATTAAAACCATACTTATTTTTTTTAGAACAGTATTAAGCAAAACGATAGCACTACACTGTTATAATGCGTTAGAACATTTTATGTGGATATTTAATGAATACTATTACTCTCTATCATAATATGAATAAAACTAGTGACATTATAACATGGTAACATATATAAATAAGAAATGATTCTAGGATATTGAGCGTTGCTCCTCAAAAAAGTAACCAAGATCTGGATGCACTATTAAAGTTTCACAAGTATCAGTTCATATTTGACTATCATCTCTTGGTAGAAGTTTCTCACCTGGCCTTGTTTCCCTCATCAATGAGGTCGTATATGTCCTGGTATGACGTCACGGCCAACTTGCTCAAATCCTCGACGTACGGGCCCAAGGCTGGGTGCTCGCGCACACGAAGATTCCCCTTGTTCTTGGGGTTCAACAGATCGCGCACTCTCTCACAATATATTTCCATATAAGATACTTCTACCTGTAGAAGGAAATGTTACAATAGATTATAACCATGAATAATTAATAACTTAATTTAAAGAAGCCGATTGATTTTAATCTTGCGCTCAGAAAAGAATGTGCATAAAAAGAGAGCGATAAAATGCAATAACAGTTAGACAAGAAGTAGGTAGTCATTGGACATTTTTTCTTATATCCGATGACTTTTGTTTGATTGAATGTACAGAATGTACGTATTCAAAGTACGAACCGAATATTTCAAGTCATCGGATGTTGTCTGCTTGATGCGTCGGAACAGGTCCTTGCAGATCTGTGGGATAATGCCCTCCTGGCCGTCCTCGCCGCGACCCATCATAGTATATGACTTCCCCGCACCAGTCTGTCCGTACGCGAATATACATATGTTGTACCCTGAAATATTATACGAAATTAGAACATTTCTACAATTATGATCACATTAATGACGTGAGCCTCTAGAATTTATTTTAAAGCAAAGAGAACAACAAGGCAAGAACAATAAAAAGATTCATTTGATATAATAAATAAAACGAAAAAAGAAAGGAATTTGCCTCAAAACGGTTTGGATTCCCGTAAATTCTTATAACACAACTCGTTTATTCAAAATTCAAAAGGAAAAGTAGAATGGAGTATTATTTTGTTTCATTTTTATAATACAAAACAACCATTGCATAGCAGTATAACGCATCTTTTAACATTAATTTAACTGTTATCAAGAGATCTCCGGATGTTTTTGTACTTGTTTTCAAAATGAATTAATGAGAGAGAGCTCGGACGTTTTATGTAGCATGAAAACAACACTACAAGAAAGGGAATGGAAATGTAATTGTTATGTCGATAGCTACCGTCGAAAGCATGCTGTAACATCTCCTCGCCGATGTCTTTGTATACCATGATTTGTGATGAGAATTCAGGATCACTTGGCTGCAAAAAAATATAACATTTAAAAATACGAAGCAGAAACAGAACAGATAGTCTTGTTTTATCAATATCACCGTTTTCTATTATGGTAAATATGTTATTCAAACACCGAAATTTGGGAAAACGGGCCTATTATAACTAGGATATTCAGGGATCTCCTTTTATTCTTGTGCAATTTATAAAGATTTTTATGGTAAATCGCGAGGTGTAAACAAATTATAATATAAGCATAGCAGCAGCAAGGCAGATTCTACTTCGATTAGTTATTTGGTAACTATTTATTTTCATTCACAGTTCTATATTAATATTTTCCTATAATAGAGTAGTTTCGTATGAAAAAATATGTTTAAAAAATATGTGTATATCTTGCAGGTACTGCATTTTCTGCGCTTTATCTAGTATATATTCATTTATGATTCGGATTATTCGCATTTATTACTATTAGCTATATTTTATTAATAATACCAATAAATAATGTAACAGACATCAGCAATATCGTAACAGACTCCAAAAACGAGACAAGGCATGCGAATAAATTTGAATAAATATGGACGTTTTGGGATCGCCGTATTCAAATTGCAAATGAGTCAAGATCTCTTGATGGCCGCCTAGCTGGCACGATCTCTATTCAGAATTTAGATGTCTTTTTAATTCGAATGCTTTGGATTGTTTTAATTAAGCAGTATCGTTTGTGATGGTGGGCAGTAGGGGTGGGTCGTCGACGCTTTTTTGATCAACGAAACGAGACTGTTTAGCGTTCACCGTAAACTAGTCTAAAAATTGTTTTTTTTTTTTAGAAAAAACTGAAAGGAACAAGAAATTGTGTCGAAGTCACTAGTTTAGTTGACGTAGTTCATGAAACGGTTTTCAGAATAAGTTGTTTAGACGTCTTTGTTGTCGTCAACTCAACAACAACGATTCAGTTAAACGGACAATGAAAATGAACTTCCTATCACAATTTTTTCATTCTTAATATTGTTAAAGTTCAGAATTGTTTATTTACAAACACCTAATCTTAAAATTGAGGTAGTTATTTGCCTCTATACATCAAATTATTCAAACTGATGACAACACAATCGATGAAAATTAAACCTTGACTTACCCCATCCACATTAGAATTAAAAACTGATTGGTAATTTTAATTACAAAGTTCAAATGTGTAATTATCCTAGAAAAGTATGTATGTATGTTCTAATGTGTATTTATCCCGGAAATGTACTAGAAACTCTATATCCTTACGTTAAACATTACTTTAAAATTAATTTAAAGGAATCAAGCGAGTGAGACAGACAACACACTATCGGTCGCGAAGAACAGAGAAAAATAGACGTATTGAGTCGCTTCGGAAACCGTTCGTGCCGCGTTGGACTGTTCAAGCATCGCTTCTATTAGGTTCACGCATAAACCAGTTTATCAATACACCATAAACAAGTCTATCGGTTGATACCCATTATACAGTCTAAAAAACGTTTTATTCATTCAACGCCCACGCATAGTTTGCAGATAAGAAATATACTCATTTAATTGTTCTAAATTGTAACAGATCAAAAATAAAAATAATTTGGTCGAACAAATAGTTTTTTTTTCATTCGTAAAGAGTTTTTTATTTTGTAATAAACTAGCTTTTGCCCGCGATTTCGCCCGCGTGGTCTTAAGTCCAGAAATGAGAAAATTCCATAAAAACTTAAAACTTAACTTAGGGGTCGGGTCCTAAAAAGAATCCGCATGCAAAATTTTGAAACTCCTAGCACTTGTAGTAACGAAGTTTCATACAAACTTTCATCCCCTAATTTTGCCCGATCGGGGTGGAATTTTCAAAAAAGTAATTTTCATTCCAAATTTCAACTTTCTCAGTACGCTCTGTAGTTTCGGCTGTACGTTGTCTGTTAGTCGGTCAGTCAGTCACTCGGTGACGCAATAAGGTATTTTGGTTTGTGACCATTGTAACCTAATTGGTCACAAATAAAAAAACCTCTATTTCTTTTTTAAGACTGAATTTTTATTGGACAACACCAAATTGAGTTCCATACAGTAAAAATATATTGATTTTAAATTAAGTAAGGTCACAAACTGCGACGAAGTATATTAAACTTATTAAAGCTTAGGTATGGCAGAATATATAAATTTACCCAATATCACAAGCACATTATGCATTTCTCAGAGCTTTAAACGTTTGTATTATAGAAATCTCAAACAATAAAGGTAGCACGACACCCAGACCAGAAAGATAATTTTCTACGTTTACTCAATCGGGAATAAACCCGAGTTCCCGGGTATCCGGATATCACAAACCGCAGCCACAATAGCAATTAGCGAACAGAATTGTGGTGCATTTTCAAACGGATATTATTTCGAATACCGTGCATAGATGGAATCTCATTAAATTACGAATGTGTCATATCGTAGTCCGTGTTATTATTTATTGTAAATAAAATATAATTGGAAGGCATATGTAATAGCTCAATTAGTGAAGATTATAATGCTTTGAAACAATTGGTTAAATGTTTAAATGTTCAGAAAATACAGAGTTACTTATAAGATTTACTATTGAATAATGAAATAAAAAATGGAAAGAATGAAATAGAACATTAATGCAAAAAAGATAAATTGACGTGTGAAACTGTAGCACTAAATATAGCTTTTGCGTGTCAAAATTGTCTTAACAGATTAAACACTCGTTTATTTACATAGAATAAGTTCGCGGTTATGCAGAAGCCTTGAACCGTACACCACAGAAACCTTAGAGCACATCGTCAAGCAAATCCGATAATCGTGTTCCGTGTAAATCCAATATGGCCGCACCATCCGAAACAAGCGGGAAACGCCAGCTAACCAATTGACGGGAAATCCTATTATCGTCGACTATCGACCTAGACTCCTGTGGACCTAGACTTATGCACGAAATCTATTTTAAGGTTAGGTATCAAAATGTAATTTTCCTCTCGGAAAGAAAGCTAATCTTAGACCACCACCACCCACACATGCAGTTGGAGTCTATTATGGCCTGACCATTTTTCAAATATAAGCTAGTCTACCCTAAAAACAAGAGCAATTCACTTTTCTTGTCGGAGTTTGTTTCGCCAGTTCTTGTCAGACAAGTCAAGACTGCCAAAGTTGGAACTGGTGATAGATTACGATAGCCAGGGGTAAATAAATAAGTCAAATGTATTTTTAAAATAATAATAAATGTAAACGTTGTCATAAAATATAAAAAAATGTATTGTGAATGTGTTCAATAGTATTGATTTTGAAGGTTTTTGAAGGAATACTCTTAATTAAAAAGACAATCAACACCTTAGTCTTATGTGGACAAGGGATCTGTAAAGGGTCCGCAACGTCAATTAAATACAAACGCGATGAAACCGTTTAAAAATTATTTAATTTATGTTATTATTCATTATACGCTTTTGATCCAAGTAGATGAATTCCCAATATTATTGTTTTGGCGTTTGCTGTAACGATTTTCATTATACGACAGGACTTGACGGACGTTACTTTAGCAAGTTAATGCCGAGCAATAAAGTTATAGCGACGTGGTTCCATTAAGTTTTAACCCTCTCGCGGCGCCGGGTGTGGAGGAAAGGAAACCCGAGCCGCGGGGTGGCAATCTTCCATGTTTACTATTGATTTAGAGCTGTCGCAGTTCAAACAACACATATACAACACGAGAAACTTATCAACAAACTGTAGACCGATTTCACGCAATCTCTTGTTAGATACAATGAAACAAGTGTATGAACATATTCAATACTCAATAGATATTAATCTCATACAATTATATTTATTTTCTTTACAGGATAAGTGGAAATAACGCTTATTTTAATAGAAGCAAGGAATTGTCTAGTAAGCCTAGCAACTTGCGTTAGGGTACATGTAGCTGACGTTAAACATAGACGCGAAAATAAATCTGCATCTGCATAAAAATATAAAAATAAATAAGTAAATAGTTTTATGTTTATGCTGGTTCTTATGTGCGTTATATTTATTTATCATTCAGTCAATAATTAAAATTATTTATCTAATTCATTGTCAATCAATGGCAATAGCAGAAACGAAGTTTTGTTTAAAGTTATACATGAATATGTATATTTTAATGAATTCATTAATAACCATAGCAACAATACTTACATTATGTGACCAGTATGAAAAGTCGAAATTGAAGCTTTTAGCTGCATCTTTGCTGCCTGGTGGTGCCTTTGGATTTGTTATAACTGCAACAAATAAATATCATGAGAGATAATTTTTGTTCATAATTACATACTGATATTTCTTAGTAATTAATTTAACAGTCTTCATGAACTGTCTTTGTATCGTATTCTACATATTTCTACTTATATTACAGGGCGGGGTTTGGGGGCGGAGGGAGAAATATAATTTACACGGAGATTGGATGTGTAATTCTTGGAAGACATCCAAGAATATGTTTTCAATCTAATATCTATTTTTACCTTATCTATCCTTAAATTTATTTATAGCATAGAAAGAGATAGATCGTTTGAACATTTTTAAAGATCGCGTGTAGAGTTGTAGGTGGTCAGTAACTAAATATAATGTAAACTTTATTTCTGAAAATTGAAATACGAATTTTCTATAAGCGTGGTTTAATTAATTTATTTTACCAGATTCTCTTTACATTCAGAGTTCATTTTAAATCGTTCCTTTTGTGAATATAAGTTAAATCTTTTGGCAATCATTCAGTTGACAGAAAATTATGTTTAACTAACTTATTATATCGTAATCCAAGGTAGGGTAGAAGAGACCAGACCACGCGGCTGATCACCGATGCGAAGGACCAACCAAATAAAGTCCACGGTAGGCACGCCTCTACACGAGTGCTTAAAGATGTCGATTGACAGGGGTGATGGCGAGATATCGCGAGGCGTGCTACATCGGCCATTCCAATAGATACTACGTGTTGACCACGGCCACGCAAGAGTGTTACGACTAGGGTTACCACCCGTACTTTATAATAAAGTATTGTACGTTATTTCAGACAATTGTACTCTATCACCAGCTATCACAGTTTTTGTACCTATTTGTACTAACGTACTTTAATTGGGGAAAAAAAAGGTGGCAACCCTAGTTACGACTGAGAAGAGCTTATGTTTATGTGAATTGGTATTAAATATACCATAGTGTGTATGCCACACACTGATATATAATACCTATTTGACCAAAACTGTTGACATTGTAATATTAAATAGTTCTAAGGGATCCTGTTCTAGGTACCAGGATCTATGACAAGTGTTCCTATCGTCTAGTCGCGACGTATCGACCCACAATGTCCGTCGTCGCGTCGCCGCCGTCTCGTCGCGCCACTGTGTTATTACAGTGTATTACACTGGCGGATTCAGAAGATATTTGCATTGCATATTTTTAGATTTAATCCATGACGCATTAAGTTTGTTCGACCATAGCGTAAAGCGATTAATAATCAGAAACTAAACAAATTTCTAAGGCTCAAATCAAAATAAATTCTTTACATCTGATTTTTTTTAACTAGCTTAGTTCAGAGACACATTATCGCATAATTATTTTCTATTTAAGCATCACGAATACAAAAATGAAGTAGGTAGGTATATCTGTTAATACCTACTTTTGTTTGTTTCTCTACCTATAATTTATTTTAAAACTTTTATAACTTTCATTTTTCTAATACTGCAGCAACATCACATATTATGTCGTCCCCTGGAATAATCCCGTTTATGGGCTGAGTCAGTGCAGCTGGACCTGTGAGTAATCAACCGGAGTGCATTGGTGACGTCATTCACCCCCGACTTATATTTTTTGTGTGTTCATTCAAATATTATTTTATAATGCGCACAATAGTACACAATAAGTCTTATTCCCTCAGTATAAACAGAGTACGAAACTTTAACCCTTATTGTTGTATCGTGTACTATAGAATTATATATTTTCTATCTCTCAGAATTTCGAATTCATAAAATATTTACGTGTTGTACTATGTGAAACTAAGTATGCTTGTTATTTACGACATAGAAAATATACCTGAATTTCTCGGCATATCGATGCCATAGTGGATGTGGGTGGCGTCAAAGACTGAAAACGGAAGCTTTATAAAAACCTAGCAAAGTTACCTCAAAGAAAGGGTTGTCATTGCGCTATTTAAAGATATCTCTTAATTTGTTACTGTTTTACTAATTTTTTTTTTTTACTAATTGAAACGTAAACATGGTTTAATTAAAATATACAATAAAATAATTACAGTTTGTCTGAATCTCATTAGCGGGTTCCAATAAGATCCCCTTTTGCAATACTTTCGCATTTAAATAACGAAATAATATTATCAGCCAATTTGGGTCTATTGTCAAATGCTAATACGGATTTGGTTTTCGATACTGACCATACAATTCTAGTTATTATATAAGTATAGATAAATATATAATTAAAAGCTGTATTTGTTCTTGTGCATCTTTATAAAATGGAAAATTCTACCAAATACAGGTTTGTTATTTATTTTATTAAATCAATGCTTAGAGACTATTTAGTTTTTGTTAAGGAGATGGGTATATTTTAGTTTTGACGTACATTTTTACTGAAAATCTACTTCTCAATTTTTTTTCATGTAATCCTACGCCCACAGTCGTATGTACGGATGACAATCAGCACAGCTCTCTCTGTTCGATTCCCGATGCATAATGCAAGAGGCAAGGGTACCGGACATTTAACCAAATACACTAACAACGCTAAAAATTGTACTGTATGTTGTTTAACAAGTTTTAAAATGATTATACACACAAAGTGTACTAACAATTTTTTTGTTAATTGCATCCAAACAGAAAATTTATCAAAAAATATATACTCGTTATATATATTTGAAATTTAAACTTCAATTAAAAACTATTTGTTACAAGTGTTCTTTTTTTCGATAATGAATTTTTGCTTATGCCAAATCGAGCTATCTAAAGAATGAAAATACATAAGCGTAATTTCTACTTTTCGTGAGAGCTATTTCACATTTAAATGACACAAAACTCCTTTGTCTCTTTCGAATTATTTATTATACTAACTATATTATTTTTTAACTAAATTGATGGCAATATTTAAATATATACATACATTTTAGAAACACTGAAAATGATTTGCAAATCAATATTACAAAAGGAAAGACTTTTTAGTTGTGTTTGTTAGCATTTAATAGAGTCGCAAAACTACTGGACTGATTTTTAAAAAAATCCCTCACCTACGAAAAGCTACACCATACGCGGGTGACAAGCTATTATTTACGAAGACGGAGTTTCGTGCGAGAAAACAGGTAGTCTCATCTAAGCCTGTAAACAGCACAAAACCTTACAATACTGATATATTAATTTTCCGTAATTTTATCATTTACCATATAAGTTAATTTAAACCATTACAAGAAAAATCCCAAACAATTACCGCGAAAGCGAATGAACCTTAACAATAAGGTAAAGGAGGTCAATACACAAAGCTTTAACTTGACGAGTGATGGCGTGGAAAATCAGAGGGGCGGCGTTGTAATGACCGAACTCCGCTCATGTACTGTGAATGGACATTAGCCAATTTGTACGGTTGATTTTCTAAATGAACAGTCTATTTGTTTTGACTCTTGAATTGAACTTTTGGGCTTAAGTATACCTATGTTATCTGTCTTTTCTTTCGTCATACAGCTTAATAATTTGAACAGTAACAGAAACACACTACAAATCACAAAACTGTGACGGTTATTATGACGAATAATAAAAGCTAACAAATTATTTTTACGTTAATAAAATAAAACATGTCTCTGCACGTCCTTATTCCTGTGTTTTATCTTTAAAACCATAAGATGTAAGCTTTCGGCTATTAAATATGTGTAGTTAAGGTCTCCATCACGAGATGAAGTAAAATAAAATATAATGTCAATAACGTGTAGTATTACCGAGCCGTTTATGAGTGTTGTTAATTCAGATTTAGTCTATTTTTTTAGGTTATTCAAAGTATTTTGGCGGCGCTAAATGGCTACGAACCTTAATATCATTACTTACAAATCATATAAGAACGTACTGTAGCTATCTATACATGTTAATGCTATCTTTACATGTTAATGCTATATGTATACATGTTATTTTGTTACAAAAATTTGCTGTAATATCATTACTTACAAATCATATAAGAACGTACTGTAGCTATCTTTACATGTTATAAACATAACTGTAATCTAAATATGAGATTGAACTTCATAAAAATACTAATCTCATCGAGATAATAAACGTGCCCAAACCGTTCACAATGACGCCATTTAATCAATGTAAGTGAAATTAACAAGCGCGAATCCCGTAGAGTGGTGAACCATAGAGGATTTATGAGCTTCGGGCGCCCCATGGACAAGGTTTATCGCGCATAATGGGGTTTATGGGCCATCGCAGCGCATTGCGGCCCTCACGTTTGCGGTTTGAACGTATCATGTAAACTGAACGTTGAAGATCACATCCGGTACGTATGATATAGGATTCGTTATGAAAAAAAAATTAGTTATTACGTGTATCGACAAAAGCGCGCTATCTGCGCGAAATATTGCCTTCGCTATAGTTGTTGTATGTTGCTTTGTACGTCTCACGGCATTATCTTTATTATTATTTTTTTATTTTAACAGCGTTTAAACAAAAATACCCATATCAGAGTATTATTAAATATCGATTACATAACAATGACATTGTGGTCATTGAGACTGACATGAAATTCTGGAATGTCCACATAATGATCCTTTTTGGGACTATTCCTTAATGGGTTATAAAAAACGGACGTATTTTATAAATGCCAGCGATCTCCGGACGTGAGAGCCGTTCCCTGTAAACTTAATGCATATTAATGGTATCAGGGTGGGTGGAAAATGTGACGCACGGATGACGTGACGACCGGTTTACGACATTCGTGAACCGTTTATACCCCACGCGACGGGCGACGTGACAATGAACTTGTGAATTTGTCAGGTATGTCATATAGAAATCAGATATGAAAATATCATAAACAAAACATAGTGTAATAATTCGCGTTGATAAGTTTAATTATACAAATGGTGATTTGAGACATAAGAATATATATCGAACATCATCAAACGTCAAGTTATAAGCAATATAATACTATGTTTCAATAGTTTTTCCTATAAAAGATATATACCTACACACGGCTGGACATCAGGTTACCATGTCAAATTTACTGATAAATATCAACGAATATATATAATAATATATATAGATTGCTATGTACGTTGATATATATATCAATTGATATTTATAATATTTATTGATAGTTTGAGTAATAAGTATTGAATTTCAATCTCGGCTAGAAAATTAAACAATCGATATTGGCTCGAAGTAGCAATATTACTAGAAATTTTGGATTTTCGTTATTGAGGGAATCCTCGCAGGCATACTTCTTTTTAATTATTTTATATTAAATAAATCAAACTCAATTTTTATTTTTACCTTCTAATTTAAAAGATCAAATATTAAATAAAACCACTAGCAGCTTAAAAATTGCACAAATCCGATATTTTTTGGATAAATATCAAATATCGAATATTTTGACATTTATTATAAATATGGGATTTTTCCGAACCATGTTTCAAACACTATTCTTAAATCACAAAGGTTTAAAATCAAGTCGAGAAATTGACAGATTTGTACAGTCTGACGTGCTGTTGAATGTACAGCCAAGAACAAAATCTATACTACTAATAAAGCTGAAATGTTTGTTTGTTTATTTAGCTGGGTTTTTTTGATGTCAAGAACTATTGGAATGAATTATTTTTTTTTTGTGTGTGTGGAGCAGCAATGAAAAATGTTGCAAAAACGGGGTAATATCTTATTTTTTTAAGATTTCCTTGCGTGCGTAACGGTGAAAGTTACACAAAAATCATGTATCACATAATTGATCCCCTTAAAAGAATTTGAAATAAATCCGCGGCAGCATATGTCTATCTACCAACTAAACGGTTGTTCAACTCAACTCAATAGAAAAATTTAACTCAATAATATATAGGAAAACTATCACACTTAAGTTGGCTTTGCAAATTTACGAGTAATAATTCCTTTGAAAACAACAAACATGATATTTTTTCGTTTTTTTGTGGATAATGGTACGGGACCCTTCGTGCACGAGTCTTTTTAATAATATATTTTAATGGAGAATTATTCATCCGACGACAAATAATATATGGATGACTATTAAACAGATACTTTAATACTTAACGGAGGGAACTTAAATAATGTTTGTGAAAAATGTACTAAACTACCTAAATTATGAATTACTAAAAATCATAAATTACTTGATTATGAGCTACTGATGGTAAGAAACAGTTTTATCTAAAATAGCAACTAAAATTTAGAGTATAAGAGTTACATAATAAATGGGGCGAAAAAAAACTGAGTGGACGAAACATATACGTTCGACACCTACAAATTGAAGAGACGGCAGACTATCCGTTGACAAAATTTCAAGCAAGTCACGTACTAAAATCTGTAAAATGCTGAATTGAGAAAGCAAAAACAAGCTGACCATCAAGTTGCTAAGAGGATCACGCGTAGAATCTTGCACAAGTAAAGCATCAGGCCATTTTAAACCCTAAAAATGAAAGCCCTAATCTGAAAATCAAGAATAAGCACAGCCATCAAATATGTAAATGACGGCGTTATTATTAATCGACTTCAATAAAACGCGTATTATTTCAAAGAAAATATTTGTTTGTATTTTTTGCAAGGCGTGTCAATTTAACTGCGCATTAAAATGAACACTGAACTATTCTATGAAGATTTGAGCGGTATTCACAGAAATACCGGTAGATTTTTCTTATTTGGTTCCATTTATTGGACAGGCCTATAGCCCAGCAGTGAGAACGCTGATAACCTAATGATGATGACATAAAGATTTTTAATTAAGATCAGCTTAATACTTCAGTACAGCAGGCCAGTGTGCAAACAGTATCCTTGGAGCACCTGGGCGAAGCCGCGGGTTACAGCTAGTATTATTAAATAAATTATAGCATTAAAGAACTGACATATTTTATTGCATCATATTTACCGTTAATAATAAAATGTTTTCCTTTCTGACAAAAAAGTATATCGCACGGCAAACAACTGTTAAAACCATAAGCAAAATAAAACATTCTTTATACTATCAAGAGAAGTCTAGACGAAAAAATACATAAACGAACTGTTTGTACAGTTTTCATCACTGTAGCGAGAGCATTAGAGTTGATATTCGATTAAGAGTTAACGGCAAAAAGTTGTATTGAGAGGAGGATGTCGGTGCAAAACTAACGAGGTAGGAACTCGTTAGCTGGCAATGGAAGTTTCTCGTCCGTGGCTTGTTTGCAAGAGGTGCAATTTAATTGGTCGCACAGTTTAAATCCCGCTTCTAAGGAATAAAAATCAGTTTCATACTCTCATTGCTAATGATATTGAAGATGTTTTGAGTTCTCAAGTTACGAAACCAACTACATAAACAACAAAATAGAAATAGTTATTTACGGAAGACCTTCTTCTTCGTCTTTTTTTAAAAACAAGCTACAAAGTATCAAGAAAAATAAAGAGATAGAATTACAATATGAACAGCATTTCTCAATTCACAAAGTTTGTGAGGCTTCGCTAATGGGTGACCTTTCAACATTTTATAATAGCATACGTCATTGACAATATCATTACTTTTTTTTTCACTAGTATTTTTTTGTAATATTGAAAGGAAAATTTAATTTCAAATCTATCTCAATGCCTTTCAATTTGAAATACATACACGAACTGCACGCTACAACTATTTGACATTCGATAGCGATTGTCAAAACGACGTTTTTGGAAATATATTGAATGAACGCTATCGTTAATTCGACGTTAACGCATTGTATAAGATAAGCGTTAGACACAAATATTACTTTAAACTTAAGTAATTAGGTGTTTATCGTGTTTCTTGATAAATCAAACCTTGTTCGGTCCAAAAGCTTTTGCGACTTGAAACGTTACTTACATAAATCGCTATCACAACCACCATAACTTTGAAAGATAAATCGATAGATTTTGAAATTAGATAATTAGCCTACTCTAAGCCTCGTATAAAAATTTCAACTTTTATAGAAGACACTTCCGTCTGTATCATTTAACAACCATTTATCACAGACTCCTTTATTATTTTAGCTAAGCGTGACAGCTATACTGTGTGGTTTACATCACCAAGGGCACAGGGCATTTCAGCGGGCTGTTATCGTCACTCCTCATTATGAACCGTCGAGGGGGTGGGCTTAAGCCTACAAGGTGACATGGAAGCTAAGAAAAGCTATAAAAAAGACTCACGCAAAAGTGTAGTAAATTACGAAATTAAAACCTCTTTTACGATGAAGCGACGACGTGTAAGGAATATCTTAATGGATTCTTTTAACAGAACGGAAGATTGTGCTATTGTGTGGACACATTTTGACCTTAACTTACAATGTAACTATCCTTTAAAATAATTTTTTATTTTTGATACCTAAAACATAAATTAAACATTATAATTTTTTTTTTTTTTTTTTTTTTTTTTTATTTATAGGAGGGCAAATGACTGCGCTCCACCTGATGGTAAGCGGAGGCGTAGTCCAAACGTGAGGACAGCTAGTGAAAACAGTACGTAGGTACTGTACTGCATACCGAAAACCGTATTGAGATCCACTGCGTGGTTTACAAAAGTCAAATAGACTCAAGGAATGATAGAATTGTCAAGTCTGAGTACAATATTCCAAAGCAAATAGATATAAACCATAACTTAAAATTTCATAATAATTGTTAATTAACTTACTTGTAGTGTTGCCGGTCATCTCTATGATACATTTCGACTCCCTGGCGATCTCGCGCGAGTTGAAGGGGCGGACCCTCACCGCCACCTTCACCGACGACATAGCTGCGGCTTCTTCGGTCGCGGGCCTCTAGCACATCGGTACTGTACGGATCTCGACCTAGAGACAAAAAATATTAAGTTCAATTTTATTAAGTACCATTCAAATGAAACTGATTCATCGTTTAATTTGCAAATATTGTTTACTTTTAATAACTGTGTGCCTCAAAACCATTTACTTGAGGTAATTTTTTGCAAGCTCGGCTACAATAAAAGTACATAAATACAAAAACTCAGTAATGACTACTATATTTGCGTGTCTCACAAAAATGTACCGTTATACGCACCGTAATAGATTCATCATTACACGACTAGTGCACGTTACACATATGTCGAGATTAAGACATGTATATAACGAAACAGTGAAATTAATATTTACCGGTATTTATTAAAAAAAAACCACATTGATAAGATACATAAAATTCTCCACATCGTTGAACATTGGCAAACAGCTGTTAATTAAACTAATTTCATTTAATTTTAATGTAGGTAATCTAATGTTTGTATTCTAGAATAATCAGTTTGCTTGACTGACGACGAAAAAATAATAAATGTAAAAAAAAAACGAAGAGAAAAAAATAAAATAATGAGAATTCAAATGTTTATAGTTTGTATGATGAACATTATGTTGAATTTATTTGACTACCTACTTAAGAAAACTCTGTTAGCGTGTTAAATTGATTAGATAAATATTACACAGTCAATTCAATTATTCTAGTTCTAGTTATATATAACCTTACATGATATTAGAACATTAGCTTATAAATGCGCATTTTCATTAGCATCAACCAATATTTTTTTAGTAAAACAAATTTTATAAATTTATAAAAAGGCTTAATTTACGCTAAAGTTTGCAGTTTAACTGTGTTACTAATAAACAAGATTTAGCGTTGGAGTAAATTTACGCTGCAACTGCACTTAGTATTAGTCAAAATTCATATTATTCAACAAAGACTCACAGGAATATTTACTCCTAGAAGGTAGTAGTAGGTTTACTTATTCTTTGTGAAAAATGAATTTGGACAAATACTGACGTTGCAATGTTAGCGTAAATTTACTCTGATGCTAAAGCTTATTTTTGACACTGTAAAACATTATAACTAATTACAATTTCGCACCTCCAACAGAAAAAAAACGGAACTTACTCGATTATCTGTCTGTCCTTCATTCAAAGTGTGATTTTGTTTCAAATTATTAAACCAAATTAATTAAAATTTGATACATATATTAAGGATGAAAAAAAATTAAGGAAGAAGACCTGAATTTTTGTAGCTGCATCAAAGTTGATACATACATGGTAACTTGTCGCTATATTTAACTTTATTAAAGAGTGTTTTACTATGCGATTATTAAGTGAAACCATAGTTCTGGAACTGTTAATCCCGATTAGTGAGCCAGACGAATTTCTGAAAAACTTATTTTTACTAGTATACGTACGCACAAAGAAAATCCAGAAAACATCACTGAAAAAGAATGTTGTCTAAAAAGATATTTTTTTGGAACTATAATTTTAAAATACAAATATTGAAACAAAATATCATCAACGCTCAAAATAAAGATCTAACTAGTTCAGCAAATGAATTCCAACTCTTGAAATACAGTAATTTTCATAGTAACATTTCTTCAACATTATTAACAGATAGAACTGAAATATAATAAGTGCAATACTCGTGTAGTATCTACTGTTTTCAAGCTCTAGATAAAAGATGAGGAAATCAGGGCTACGCCCTCAAAAGTAAGTCGTTGTCGTGCCTATAACAATTATTCGAGCCTCCTAGAATTCCTTCAAATGTCACGAAACTCAGGTAGGTAACATAAAAGAACGGCCATTATAATCCAATAAAGAAGAAATGTGCTGATATCTACAAAATCGCAAGCACTCTGTTATTATCACGGTACAGATTACCAGCAAATACCTTATTATGTTGATATTATAACGATTACAACGCATTCAAACAAAAGCTATTTTTTGCATGGAGTTGTTTTTATTATTTCACAGTGAAGGTACTTTTTATTAATAACTAACAAAATAAAATTTACAAGAGTCATTGTTATTCAACTTATCACTACATATTATAAAACAAAGTCCCCCTTCTGTCTGTCTATTCGCAATAAATTTGAAAAGTACAGGACGGATTTTCATGCGGTTTTCAACAATGGATAGAGCAATTTTTGAAAAAGGTTTTAGTGAATAGTAAGTTTAGGTAAAAAAAAAAGCCGATCGGAAGCTTTCCTCGAAAACGCTGCCAAAAACTTTGAGTTAAAACAAAATATTGTATGGTGGAATTGTACCTCTTTAATAGATCTACAAAAAAGTCGCGTTGGTATATGTCTATATTCCAAGGCTAACCCACGATAATCATTTTTTACGTATACTTAAAACAGTAAAATGATAGGTTATTTACATACCTGTTTTTAACAATACAGTATTGATCTTATTCAAATAAATAAGTTACATACGTTATGCATGTAATGTAGAGCAAATTTGACTTTTACACTATATCAAAAACATTAGCAACTAATGAGATATTAAATATCGATGAATAAAAATAATCGCCGAAACGTATGTACGCGCATAACTTCAGAATTCCAGTTCCGACTGCACCAAATTGAATGACTCTATTTTTAATGTGTTCGACGATGACACCCTTTGTATAAGATAAAAAAAACGGGTATAAGGCGATATTAATACAATAATATCATTTACAGCACATACTATGCTACACCCAGGAAATTAATGGGCGTTCTTTCTAAACACCAATTAACAGTAAACGTATCATCAATCTTTATTTTCACCAACTATGGTATGCGTATACCGGCCCTGTAACTACACAATACATAAAAAAACTTCCTAGTCATTTTTGTTCAATATATCAAAGTAAGTGAAGCCATAAACATCTTTTTGGTTACGCTACTTCGTTTACTGCTGGAACTATGAAAGTTTAGGCGCAGACTTTAAAGTTTTTACATATAATAACTATTCGATAAAAATATGGTTTCCGGGGTCTCAATACAGCTGGGCATCAAGAGAGAAATAGAAAACGAGACAAATTCAACGCGCCCGGCTGTGAGATAGGAACAACACTGGCGTATTGTGTGTCATAAATTATTTTTAATTAATCACTCGCAAAATTATAGGATTTTGTAAAAATGCTTCATAAAACGCCCGGCTATGTTATTTCCTTATAAAAAAAAGAGTATAATTGTGGCAGAAATTAGAGAAAATGTGTATTTTAGGGACTCTTGAGATTTTATTATATCAAGAAAATTTTATTAATTCACGTTTTGCCTAAGACAAAACCCTATATAGCTTTGTATAAAAACAATTGAAAGATGGTGACTTTCCGTCTCACAAAGTGAGAATTAAAAAAAAAATAAACAATTACTATTATACAAAAAAAAACTTTGTAATTTGGCACGTTTGTAGGGAATAAATGACAACATAATGAATTAAAATGATTTTCACTGCCATCGAAGCGTCTGCACCTGAGAGCGGAAGATGGATCTTATTTATATGTTATGAAAAACAGAGAATAGTATGGTGTTTTTTCTTCTATAGTATTGATTAAAAGGACAACTATAGAATCGATTTGTTTGTACTATAAAATATAAATTTCTCATTTTTCAATCTTAATTGAACTGTTTGACTTTAAAGCATTGCTGTGATATCTAAAACCTAGCTTGTTGTGCATTTTTTTTTGCTTTAATTTTATTGATACTGATCGTCCTATAGAAAATATAAAAAAAATACATAAAAACATATTTTATCCGGTAAAAATAGAACGAAAACAAAAGAAGAACAAAATTAAATGTCAAATTACGACTGAAAATACAGTCTCAGCATGTATCCGACATATAGATAGCTGAATGCTGGTCTACAGTTCAGGTTTTCAAGACCACTACTGAATTAAATGGAAGAAAAAATATACACAATTGCAAAATTTTGGTAATAAGATAAAATTAGACTATCCCATTGAGCGGTTCGTCATGGTCTGTCGCAGGCCTGCGCATGCGGTGCTCAGCTGATTTACTTTTTTGCCGACTGTATCCGAAGTAGGGTACTGGGTTGAATGCAGAGGCGAATAACCCTACATTAACGATAATAGGTACCGTTTCTGTTTACCGAAACGGTTGATCTTTATGGAAATTATATAATTGTTAAAAAAAAAATATTGGTTAACATATAAGAAGAATGTATTTAAAACAATGGAAAGCTAGAATACTAACAACCGATGTAATATTTTAATTTAGACAACAGACCGATAAGCACACAACACAAAAAAAAATGAATGATATGAAACCGAAAAACAAATTGACTTATCACGTTTTATCTAAGCATCTGCAAATATACTTTTTTTTTCCAAAGAGTGGAACAGACAAATTGTAGCCATATTCAATAGACACTAGACACAATACAATAACATAAGTGCGCAGTTCTAATTAACAATAGTACGTAGATGCGTCGCTATTAGTGTCAGGATAAATTTTATGTTTTAAATATACAGTGCAAAGAAGTTTGTAGAAAATAAACCAATACCTATGTTGCGAGTATACGTCAGTATGTGGCCCAGTGTCACTTAAAAACAAAATTTGTTGAGTAAATTCATAAATCACTTTCACAGTCCCATGTAGAAATCACATAAAAGAGCAACGCACGAAAATAATACATTAGGTCTCATGACGAGGAACACAAATTTATTCAATGCACAGTTGCCAGCACAAGGTTCGCGAACAAAATGGTGAATGTGTTTTCCTGAAAGCAATCCTCGCGTGCAATAATTGGTCGCGGTAGAGTGCACAGCACCAGTCGAAAGTGTGGCCACCACGGCCGTTGCGCCCCTGCCGCCGCACTTACGTAACATCGCAATCTTGAGAACCTACCAGCTCCAAAGATCGAAAGGGCGGCCATGAAAACGTGTCGCAGAGATGACTCACGACGACCGCTGGCGCCCTCTACAACCTTCGCCTCGGGGATCTCTATGATAGGTGTCTGGGAAAGGCACTCGGACAGTAACCTTGGACACTGCACTCAGCCTCAGCACAAGCCTTTCGCTCGCAATGAACTTACCGGATAGCGTAGCTGGGTAACTGTCGCAACGAAAGACGTAGATTTGATTAACACTTTTTGTTTTCCTTGAGCTAGGAGCTCCGTCAGGTAGCAGCTGGCGACATGGCGCGTCGCGGTGGGATGCGCGGTGCGACTGCTGTGGCCGGTGGTGAAGGCGCGGGTGCTGCTCACGGCGCATGCGCACTGGGGCCGCGGTCGCCTTCGATCTAACGCCGCGGTGCGCGACCCCCAGCGCGCATGCGACCCACACCGCAAATAACACGATCTACTCAAACCTCACCGTTCCATCTGCCCGACAACTCCTTAAACATATCTTAATTGAACATTTTTTGCTAAGTCTTATGTACTACGTCGTTTTACATCCGACAGGAATCCATAAGAAAGGAATGATGCCGATACCGCTGTCTTTCTAGGTCGTAACCACCCACCCACTTAACTGCGTCATCCATCCTTCCTATTGGATATAGAGCTTTTTACGTGCTTTCATATAGTACAGGATTGAATGTCTGTGATGAGTTTGGCTCTATTGATGTAGCTCGTTATGAAAAGAGTACCCAACAGGATACTGTAATGTAAACTAGAGATGGGTCTATGTCATTTAAGTTGTCTAAGGCCATTCAGGGCACGTGCGCTTTGATTTCAGAAATCCTGATCAACTGGATCCGCGACCTGATTTGAATATTAGCAAAGCAATTAAACGAGAGCATGAATGAATTTATAATTGAAGAGTGCTATAGGGAATATAATTATGTTAAATAAATCACGAAATACTTATATTTGTAGTAGTTATAACTGTGTAAGTGTGCAAGCGAGTGCAAGAACTGTTATACCTACCTATTTCCTTGCGTCGAATCAAATAGAACTAAGTAAAAAATTACACTTTATAAAGAACAAACACCAATCTGTAAAACCTCATTCCCCCACAGATACTCAAGAATAAAGTACGAAACATTCTTTCATCTTCGTAGGTCATACATATAGTTGGCAATCCTTTCCATCGTATCGTGTCATTTCTATACTTTCTTATTTCTACCAACGCAAAAGCAATTTACCGAGAGAGGTCGGGTCAAAGAACTGTATGTACGGCGAATTACGCACTAGATTAGCTACGACCCGCTAGTGACGTCATCAATATCGTATTGATTGTCGAAACAAACTTCTAAAAAAAACAATAGTAAAATTTGCTGCAGACTGTGGCTCCACAGTAATGAATCACTATCGACTGATAGTTCGCTAACTTTTGACCTTTTTAATAGGTCTTAAATTAGCTTTACATTGATATGCTAATTTGCATACACTTAAAATAGTGTAAACTTCAAAGCACCTAAGGCAAAGTGTGAGGCACAACCACAACTAAAACTTGACATATGTATTATCAAGATTTAATCTTTAACCTTCATCTGTCAATGTCGGAGAAGGGTCTGAAACGGTTCATGCGCGAAATCGGCACATGTAATTTAAGGAATATAGCTCTCCTATCAAAACTTGCTGCAATAACACATATAGATTTTTGTAATGGAGTCCTTCAAATCGATTTTTTTAGAAAAAAAAAAATATATGTACCTATTTCAGTTTTAAATACAATTTACCATTAAAATAAACATATTCAATGTAATCGAATCGATAATTTCGAACCCTTCGCGATAAACTACATCATCGATATTATTGTTAAAATTGACAGATGCTACTAGAGGCAATTCGTAATAAAAGCGATGGCGCATCAATTGGCCGGGCGTATCGTCGCGGGCCGCGGCGCATTATAAGAAGTGCCGTTTCTCCGCACATTACAACATAACGGGCCTATAAAATAACTTTACGAAACTGCCGCACGTACCGGGTCTCGGCTGTGCCTCCGTTTTATTTAGAGACCCTCTTTTTAATCTTACACTTGATATTTTTCTTTTCGGAAATGTTAACATTGGATTCAGCGGGTCTAACGCGTAACTTGTGCTTTAACGCAAAAATAAAAAAAGATATTACAAAGGTTTCCCAAACGACCATACGTTTTTCGCTACCGTAGCACTGTGTGACGTCAGTTAGTGCCTCAAATTTGTTGGGAGCGTTCTCGACCGACTAGCAGCAGTTCTACAAACATAGCACCGTAACTCCGAAACTATTAATCGCAGGCATGGTGTTACTTCTACATTTCTTGGATATTAATGGACTATTTATTTATAAGATAAAAAATAAATTACCAATTAGCCTATTGTCATTGATCCAAAGTCAATGCTGTTAACGTTCTATTAAAGTACTACCGGGTAAGATTGAGTGCGTGGGATTCATTTTGCTTGAAGTACAAAGTAGTATATCGTATGTAGAAGGATATAAATTACCCCTTTACATTTTTCTTTCTTTTCTTCTCCTGATCAAACTGTTTTTAAAGTAGCCGGGGGCAGGTACGCACTTAGGTCTAAGTAAAAATCTTAATCATATTTGACCTTCTTATAAAAAGAAAAATGACGAAATCGTGAACTGGAAAACAAAACATTTCATAAATTCTCCCAAAAATACCGAAAAACCTTTCAAACAATTCGCAAACATCAAAAGTTTGGAAATAAGTACGGTAGCTGGCTTTTATCGAAAGAAGTTCAGTAAGTAATATATTTTCTGTAACTTCACTTTCAAATAGAAATTCTAACCAAATCGATAATTGGGTAAAAACTCAAAAACTGCAGTAGGTAATATAAAGTTACATTATCAGTAAGTAATGTAGGATATACCTATATTTGTTTTAAAAAGATGGCACGATTTAATAAAGTATGATTAAAAGATGTTTTAATATAATCCTATAACCAAATATCACAGATATCCTATTATATTTTATTTGATACTCAGTATGACCATCACAAATGAGCAAATGTTCTTAATTATTTAGAAAAAAACGAATACTCCCAAAATAGGTACTTTGGGAGTATTCGTTTTTTTCTAAATAAAGCGAGCGAGGTTACTTTTAATTAAAAAATAATAATAATCTGGATTATTTATTAGAAAAAAACGAATACTCCCAAAGTACCTATGCGAGGTTACTTTTGATTAAAAAATAATAATAAAAGGTAAAAGCAGATAAAAATTAACCAAAAATAATTCAATTTACTTGATTTAAAATGTTCTGAAATGTATGAAAAAAAAAAAGTTTTATATTTTGATAGATATCTAGGTTTTTGTAAGTAATTCAGAACTTTTTGCTGATTAGTTTATTTCTTTTTCTACTTGAACATTCCGTCTCCGGATACATATTTTATTTTTAATTAACGCATATCAAGATTGCAACAATTTATACGTAGTGCAGTCATCATACAAAATTGTCTTTCTGCATTTGATTTGAAGCTTTCGTTTGATGACGATGAAGTTCAAAATCAATTGGAGAAAATTGACATTTTGTGTTAATCTGATATGCTGCAGAATACCCAATCGATTTCTACTATTAATTATATCTCTGATCCTTATATAAGTAACTGAAGCTTATTACAAGAATTGATACCAAAGTTAATTTTCTACTTTGACAAATCGCATGTTTCAGATCTTTTGCATGATATTGCGTGACATCCACAAACTGCGGAGCACTCTCCGAGGTCGACTCGACCTTTATTTAGATTTGATTGAATATTCTTAAAAGTAATCATAGTCTTACAACTCTTACTTAACATATTCTTATTACTATACTTACCCAAATCTCACTTCTAACAAAATATTTTGTATAAAATATCGGTTATTCATGTGAGTTGATATCCGTTATAAAACCATATCTCAAAATGAAATATCTACGCGTACTTTGTACGGGGCCAGTTAATTAATCATAGCGACGATATAACGGAAAGACATTGTGTGTGAACAAGTATCCGAAAAGACGATACGAATGAATGTGAATAGAGCAATCTCACACCCACCACAAACGAAATAAATGGGGTTAATGGAGCGTTCAATCTTAATCTGAAGACTACTAAACTGTCGTATCACCTGTCAGATAAACCCTAAGCTTTCAGAATATATCCAACTCTCAAAGGTCATCAATAAAGTCGAAGTGCCGATATATATAAGTACAAGACTTTTGCGTTCAACTTTTTCGTGTGGAATTTCGGGAACGTTATATCTTAGGAACGTTTTAGTAGAATAAAATATAGCCTATAACGTTTATAAGAGAGACTGAATGATCTATGTGTAAATTCTTTGAAACTCCATGTAGTCGTTTTTGTCTAAACAGGTAACAAAACAAACATATAGCTTGTGAATATACAAAATTTTTGCATTTGTCGCTGCGCGTGCGAAACCGCGTATAACCACTTTGTTAATACTGAGTATCTACATTTTGACAGTTTTACAGGAGAAAGAAAACACTTATTATCTATGTCGTTTTAATAAAAAATACCGACTTGACTTTATAGATAATTCTTTGTGACTAACATCAACAAAAAATAAAATCTAATTTAATATTAGCAGACAAGCAGAATTGAAATGAAAAATTTTACGATAGAAATATATATATTATGACAAAAAGAATTAAGACATAAACATTTTATATAAAAAAATACTGTTATAGAACTTAATTTAGACCTTTCATATCAAATGGTTATAACAGCCTTTTTATAATTATGAGATCAACTAATTGAACATTAATATTTGTAAATCCTCTAAACATCAGGATTAAACTTACAGTTTTAATTAACATTAAATATAACAAACATAAACTTTCTATTCTTTATATTCTGAGTAATTAATTCCCTCCAAACAATATCCTCCATCATGTAATAGTGTTTTTAACATAACTCTTAAACTTTAAACCTCAATGGTACTGAAACATAATCAATAAACTTAGTTATTTTATTTTTAGTTACTTTTCCTGCTGTTTAATTATCACTTCTTATTAATAATCTCCTCTTTAATTAATTCTCGTAAATCACAGCATACAAAGACAAAAATGCAATCATTATACGTAAGGTAAATTATCATAGAAATAATAATAGTCTTTAGGTATTACACTTTTAAGCTCCTGTAGGTGTTCGTACTTTGTCTTGGATATTTAACTTGCATGTCTCATCAAACTTTAATTATTTTTTGGTCTTCTAGGTAATGGGACAACATCATTTGTAAAATCGAGTTTATGAAAATATTTCCCGATTTTTTAACTTCCTCTCAATCAAAGAGTGAACTAAGTCAAC